AAAGAAAATTATGTTTAATGAAGGAGAAAATAGCCCAATATTTTAATAGCTTCCATAAAATAAGTTCAACTGGGTGTGAGAAAGGTGAAAATAATGGCCGAGAGCATTTTCCCTTTACAACAGCAACCGTGGCAAGCACCACAACGCTCACATTAGTGTTCATTAGGGAAACATTTTTTGTTTTACGTACATTAACCAAAATTGCCTCTCTGTTACAGATAATTAGTATAGATATAAAACTTTGTGTTTTCCAGTTTACAAAATGAAAGCCGTGTGACAGGATTAGAGTTATCTGGGCTGGGGAGGGTAGAGTGTTTGCCTAGCCTGCATGAATCCTTGGGTTTAACTCCAACTCAGCATAAACTAGGTATGGTGGTGCACATCTGTAATCCCTGTGCTTGGAAGGTGGTTGTTTTGTTAGCTATACAGCAAGTCTGAAGACGCCTGGGCTTCATGGGCTCCTGTTATTAAAGGACTGTAATGTAGACACATCAATGTGTTTCACAGTTTTATCCCTAGTGCTCAGCACAGCATCTGGAAGGTAAATACCTAGTAACTGAATGGTTGTGCTCGTTTCCTTTGTAGTATTATGAAAACTGCCTGGCTACGTTAGTGTGTGTGTGTGTGTGTGTGTGTGTGTGTGTGTGTGTGTGTGTGTTAATGTTTTGAAACAGGGTCTCTCGACCTTAAATCCCGATTCCCCTGCCTCCACCTCCCAAGTGCTGAGACTGTGGGGTCCTGCTGCCACGTCCACCTGCTGCTCACGAGAATTTTAGGTTTCTGCTGATGCACTCTTGTTGTTCACAATGTGGGATTTGTTCACGTTTCCATTCCCTCTGGCACTTGGCATCTCTCACTCTGTGCTTGGTGCCTGGGACTTTGGTGCTTTTATGTGTCACACTGTGGATCTGCAACTTCTTCCAGATCCTGTTGTCACTGGACTCCAGGCTGTGCAAGTTCCTACACTGAGGCCACTCCTTTGCACATTCCCTGCCACAAGAGCTGGGCCAGTTCCTTTTTGTTTGTTTGTTTTGTTTTTTGTTTTTTGAGTCAAGGTTACACTGTTTAGCTCTGGCTGTCCTGGAACTCACTTTGTACACCAGGCTGGCCTCGAACTCACAGAGATCCAACTGCCTGTGCCTCCCGAGTGCTAGCATCAAAGGCATGCAATACAACTGTCCTGCACAGGGTCAGTTCTTGGGGAATTCATGTCAGGTACAGCCAGGCCTCGTGACACAGGCCATCCCAGTCATTCAGGAGACTGTGACAGGAAAACTGAGGTTTCTGAGTGAGTTCACACCCTGCCTGAGCAACTTAGTGAGACGCAACAGAGCAAGTGGTTTTGTACAAAGGAATAGAGCTCAGTGGGAGAGTGTTTGCCTGCCACATGAGTGGCTCTAGGTTGAACCAGAAGTATGAAAAAAAAGAAGAAAGGGGGGAAAAGAAAAGGAAAAGCCTAGTCAGGTGATAAACTTGCAGGGAATAAAAAAGAACTTGACAGTGGTCTGATTTGATCTTCCTTCCTCCCCCTCACCATCCTGCAGGCTTCCCAAGTGTCAGTCCAGAGCCCATGAGCTCCCACTAGCTCTGATGGGCTGTCTCTGTGGTTTTCCCCATCATGATCTTGACCCGCCTTGTTCATATGATCCCTCCTCCCTCTTTTCGACTGAACACCAGGAGCTCAGCCCAGTGCTTGGCTATGGGTCACTGCATCTGCCTCCATCCGTTACTGGAAGTTGATTCTATGATGGAAGTTAGAGTGGTCACTAATCTGATTACAGGGGAAGGCTGGTTCAGGCATCCTCTCCACTATCGCTAGGAGTCTTAGCTGGGGCCATCTTTGTGGATTCCTGGGAATTTCCCTAACACCAGGTATCTCTCTAACCCCATAATGGCTCCCTCTACCATGACATCTTTTTCATTGCTCTCCCTCTCAGTCCCTCCCTTGGCCATTTGGATCCCTCTTGTTCCCATCCCCCATCCCCTCCCTTCTACCTCCCTCCCAGTTTACCCAGGAGATCTTAACTATTTCCCCTACCTGGGGCCCTCCTTGTGTGTTCCTCTTAGGGTTCTCCTTGTTACCTACCTTTTCTGAGGCTGTGGATTGTAGCCTGGTTATCTTTTTTTGGGGGGGGGGTTTCGAGACAGGGTTTCTCTGTGGCTTTGGAGGCTGTCCTGGAACTCACTTTGTAGACCAGGCTGGCCTCGAACTTACAGAAATCCGCCTGTCTCTGCCTCCCAAGTGCTGGGATTAAAGGGGTGGGCCACCAACGCCCGGTAGCCTGGTTATCCTTTGCTTCATGCCTAATATCCACTTATGAGTGAGTACATACTGCGTTTGTCTTTCTGGGTCTGGATTACTTCACTTAGGATGTTTTTTTTCTAGATCCATCCATTTGCCTGTAAATTTCAAGATGTCTGTTTTTTACTGCTGAGTAGTGCTCCGTTGTGTAAATGTACTTTTTAAAAATCCATTCTTTGGTTGAGGGGCATCTAGATTGCTTCCAGGTTCTGGCTAGTATGTACAATGCTGCTAAGACATAGTTGAGCAAATGTCCTTGTGGTATGATTGTACATACTTTGGGTACATGCCCAAGAGTGGTATTGCTTCATCTTGAGGTATATTGATTCCCAATTTTCTGAGAAACTGCCAGGCTGGCCTATAATTCTTGATCCTCTTGCCTGCTGAATGATAGTTTTTGTTTATTAGAGTCAAGGCCATACTCTGTAGCCCAGGTTGGCCTGGGACTCACTATGAAGTTCAGACTAGGATTGAATTTACGGCAGTCTTCCTGTATCAGCCTCCTGAGTCTTACAATTACAGATGTAAGTCACCACACCTGTCCATTTTCTTTTTTTCTTTTCTTTTCTTTCTTTTTTTTTTTTTTTTTTTTGGTTTTTCGAGACAGGATTTCTCTGTGGCTTTGGAGACTGCCCTGGAACTAGCTCTTGTAGACCAGGCTGGTCTCGAACTCACCGAGATCCACCTGCCTCTGCCTCATGAGTGCTGGGATTAAAGGCGTGTGCCACCAACGCCCGGCCACACCTGTCCATTTTTAAGTTTTTAATTTACGTGTATGTCTGTGTGAGTATATGCCATGTGTGTGCCTGCTGCCTGCAGAAGGGAGTGACAGATCATCTCTTCATCTCTCCAGTCCCTTTAGCCCATTTTTAAAAAGGTAAAACTAAGCAGGGCAATGATAGCACATGCCTTTAATCCCAACACTCTGCAGGCAGAGACAGATGAATAGCTAAGTTCAAGACTACCCTGGTCTACAGAACGAATTCCAGGACAACCAGGGCAACATGAAGAAAACCTGTCTCCAAAAACAGAGAAACAATACCAACAACAAAAGGTAAAAAACACACACACATGTATGTATATATATATATATACACACACACATATATATATAAAATGGATAAGTATATTGGTGCCTTTGTATGAATACTTTAAGATAATAGATTAATAGAACTGAGCCTTTCGACCTTGGTTTTGCCACTTTCAAGTAAGCTAACCTTGAGTGGCCTCTATGTTGTTGGCCTTGGTAAAGGTCATCTGTAAAACCAAAAAATGAGACCAGTGAACTAAGTGAGGATCTCTTCCCTGAGCTAACATTTTGGTAATCAAATTACCCAGTTTGAAGTAATGATTTCCTTCTATGTGGGTCCCTGTTGCTCTACCAAGGGAGAGCCCAGTGAAGCAGCAGGGCTGTGCTTGCCATCCTGCAAATCTGTGTCAAGTGATTGAGAGCCTAATGATCCACATGAGGAAATCGAAGATTTTTTCCATTTTTTATTTTCCGATTTCATTTTACATTCCAACCGCAGTTCTCCATCTCACCCTTCCCACCCCTCTCCCTAAATTGAAGATTCTTATACTAATTGCTGACTATTGAAGTGTGCAAAACATCTTCTGGTTCACTCTGATTATATCTAAAGTGTGCTTTATAGGAAAGGTTAAAAGATACTATAGCATAACCAACTTGGAAGTATGACAATTTAATTGGAAAATGCTAATGTAAAAAAAAAAACATGGAAAGCCGGGTGTTGGTAGCGCACGCCTTTAATCCCAGCACTCGGGAGGCAGAGGCAGGCGGATCTCTGTGAGTTCCAGGCCTGCTTGGTCTACAAGAGCTAGTTCCAGGACAGCCTTCAAAGCCACAGAGAAACCCTGTCTCAAAAAACCAAAACATTGACAGAAATTTCCTGGGTAGTCATTAAAACAAAGCTTTAAATGAAATTCTTAGAGGATCTGACTCTGTAACTTTAGCGTGGCATTACATATGGTTGTGTGTATGAATGAGGCCAGTGTGAGTTATATGAGACTCTGTCTCAAAACAAAAACAAAACAAAACAAAACAAAAAACTAAGGTAGTACCTTGCTTCATGGTTGTGTAGTTAGATGTAGAGAAGGTGTCTATGAATAGTCAGTTTCTGTTAAAAAGAGGCAGAGGCTAGGCAGTGGTGGTGCATGCCTTTAATCCCAGCACTTGGGAGGAAGAAACAGGAGGGTCTCTGTAAATTCAAGGCCAGCCTGGTCTACAGAGTGTAGTTCCAGGGCAAGACTATACAGAGAAACCTTGTCTCTAGTGTAGGGGAAAAAAAAGAAAGAGATCAGTATTGTTGAAGGGAAATCTCCAAAGTATTTTTTAGTGATATATTATTTAAGATTTATTAAAGCTTGACTGAGGATTCAGAAAAGCAAAGTCAGTCACAAGCCTTAGAAGTCAGGTGCACACCTTTAATCCTAGCAGAGAGAAATGTGGCTGCATAAGCTCAGAAGATCACCAGTGGATCTAGATTTTGGTCACTGTTAGACTTTGGTTTTCCTGTGATCTGATTATAATTGTGGTCTGGGTTTTCCTTCTTAATTTCTGCAAATGACTAGTGTAAATGCTACAGCTCTGAGGGAAAGGTTTCCCTAATGAAGGTGTTACAGCTCTGAGGGTAAAGGCATCCTGTCAGTGGGGAGTCAAGGAATACCACAAAATCACATGTAACAACAAACCTCACTCAAGAGATTTATTGGGAGAGACACAAGAGGGTGGCTGCCTCTGCTGGGGAGAAGCAGCCATGGAGGACTGAGCCGGAGGCGGGCTTCTACAGGGATTCTTGGGGGGAGGGCTTTTCAGGATGGCCTGGGATTGGAAGGATCATGTGGCCTGATTGATCTTCCATTAAGGTGGTGTTAGTTAATACTATCTTCCAAGATAAACAATCGCCATCACATCAGCTGGGTCACCTTGCAGTTGTCATGTGTAGACCTGTTGACTGTTCATTTGTTAATGTTATTATGTCCCATACGATGGCGGGAAAGTTTAAACAAGTTACAAGGGTCTCAACAAGGCACGTTAGACAGCAAGGTTCAAAGCACTGAAGTCAGACGCAGCTTAAATCAAAGGAGGCTTTGGTCTAGTCTCCAAAATAATTACAAGGACTGGCTTAAAGGAAAAAAAAATGCATGTCTAAATGGGTAACATGCATTTTTCTCGTCAGCCACCTGGGTCCCGTTGTCGCTTTAGCCCCAAATAACACACAAGACACTATCTTAATTATGAAGCTGTTGGCCATTTGCTATTGTTTCTCATTGGTTAGCTCTGACTTAATTATCAACCCATAATTGTTAATATATTTTTATAAGTTCTGAATTCTTGGAGGCCATTGCAGCTTCCTCCTCTGAAGTTGCCAGCCACCCGAGTCTCTGCCTAAAGCGCTCATCTTTTGCTGACACTTGGGCACAAACCCAGCTTGTAGCAGACATCTCATCACCCCTCACCTACAACCTATAAAGTCTACCTGCCTTCCTTTGTGGGTGCTTCTCCAACCTTCATTTCTGGAATTGGGCAACTTGCCTGGGAGTTGCTTTGCTCAAATAAACCTGTTGCTAACACTTTTTCAATTCGGTTTGGTCTGGCTTACTTAGTAGTTGGAGAAACCTATTAGTATACACAATATATATTAGTATACACAATATATATTAGTATACACAGTATATATTAGAATATACAATATATATTAGTATATGCACATCTATGCACATTTTTCTTTGCTTTGTTTTGAGACAGGGTAGTTCTATGTAGCCTTGTCTGGCTTGGAACTTGCTTATCAAAGAACAATGCATCACGTCTTTTTAAAAAATATTTCACATTAAAAACATTTTTAGGTTTAAAAGTCTTATGTGTATGGTTTTGCTGTACATATGTATATATACTGTGTGTGCCTGATGCCCACAATAGTCAGAAGAAAGCATAAGATCCCCTAGAACTGGAGTTAGGGGTGGTTTTCAGCCACCATGTGGGTGCCCGGAATCAAACCCAAGTTCTTAACTGCTGAGCCACCTCGCTGGTCACCTGTCCTCTCCCCCAGCCCTTTCATTCTCAAACTGCAAAGATTCAATCTAGCAGGATGGCTCAGTACGTAAAAGCCCTTGCCATGCGAACCCAGTGACCTGAGTTTGATTCCTCAAACCCACCATGGAAAGTTTTCTTCTGACCTCCAACAAGTCTCTCTCCCCCCCCTCTGTCCCCCTCCCTCCCTTCCCCCCTTACACACACACACACACACACACACACACACACACGTATGATGTTTTGCTTTTTGGGGGCCTATCAACCAGTTCCCAAACAAATCACACATGGAGGTTTATTCTTAGTTATGAATGCTCATCCTTAGCTTGGCTTGTTTCTTGCCAACTTTTTTGTTTTAAACTTAAATTATCCTATCTTTGGTCTCAGAACTTTTATCCTGTATATACATTTTCTTTCCTTCTTACTCCATGTCTGGCTGGGTGACTGGCCCCTGAAGTCCTCCTCCTCCTCATTCCCAGTGTAAAGATTCAGGCGTTATATTGGCCTGTCCCTGTCACCTGGCAGGATGGTCAGCCCAGGGTACCATGGTTGCTTAGTCTGTATGCAGGTGCAAAGGACCCCTTTATTTTTATTTATTTATTTATTTATTTATTTATTTATTTATTTATTTGGTGTTACGAGACAGGGTTTCTCTGTATTGTTTTGGAGGCTGTTGGTCCAGCCTGGCCTCGAATTCACAGAGATCCGCCTGCCTCTGCTTCCCGAGTGCTGGGATCAAAGCCACCACTGCCCCACCGCCCTGCCAAAGGACCCCTTTAAAAGAAAGACACCCGCCCACTTACACTCTCTTTCCCCTCTCTCTTCCCTGTGGTTCCCCTGGGGCAGACAGGACTTTTCCTGTGTCCCTCTTCTCTTCTGTCCTCTCTCAGTCTCTGTGTCTCTTTACCTCTTTTTCTCTTTCCTTCCCCTTTCCCTCCCCTTTTAAATAAAACTTCTCACTAAGCTCTGTCTGCCTGGCATATCTGTTCCCCGCCTCAATCACCCTCACCTACCATGGAATCCACCAAGGTCACACACACACTTTATTCTTAACACCCAGATCCTCTCTCCCAGATTTCTCTTCATATTTATTCTCTTTGTATGCCAACCCTGCCTATGTCTTTCTCCTGCCTTGCTATTGGCTGTTGAGCTCTTTCTTAGACCATCAGGTGTTTTGACAGGCAAAGCAACACAGCTTCACAGAGTTAAGTGCAACATAAACAAAAGTAACACACCTTAAATTAATATTCTCCAACACACAGAGTGAAGATTCTAAGATTAAGGATTGTGTTTTATTCTACCAGGATCAAGGCACTTTGCAAGCTTTGAAAGGCTGCATAACGTTTCTGCACAGGTTGCATCCATCCTCCTCCAGCAGATAGGGAAACTTGCTTCCCTAGGGCAGTGCACAAAGGAAGCAGGACTGTTTCCAGCTTCAAGTACTGTAGTGATGAGAATGTTTGGAATGCCAGACACACCCAGGCTTAAGAATGCAAGCACAATTCAACATCTATTTTTCTTTTCTTCTCCCCTAACGGCTAGTACAGAATTCTAGTGAAAGGCAGGACATAGATATTGGTAAGCAGGAAAAACAAAACAACGACGACGACAACAACAAAAAAACCAACTATGATTATAGACTGTTTACTCATTCTGTGAATTGCACACAAACTGTTCAAGCTGCTAAAGTTGTCTGACAACACTAGAAAGAAGTGTTGTTTTAAAGCAGTAGTTTTGGGCTGGAGAGTTGGCTCAGTGGTTTGGGCACTTGGTGCTCTTACAGAGGACCAGGTCCTCCAAGGGTACCAGGCACTCACATGATGCACATACATTCGGGGAAAATATATACATGCTGGCAAAAAAAAAGTCAGACACATTAAATAAATAAATAAATATAAATAAAAGAAATTTAGTTTTCTGAGATTTGAGTCCCTAACAAAAGATTTACTCCCCTTTCATTTAAGTCAGCAATCACTTGGGTTTTTTGTTTTCTTTTTTTAAAATTAAAAAGTAATTATTTTGAGACAGGGTCTTGTCCTCCGCCTCCAGCCTCATCTTCCTCAGTGGTGCGGTCACAACTACACCCAGCTACAAGTGTATTTTTCTTAAGAGACTGTATTACAGATCATTACACCTAGAAACAATGTTCAGAATAGCAGTACTGACCCAGGAGAGGAATGGATGACTTCTTGTCTAGACTTCAAAGGACCTTCTTGCACTTGGGGTCAGGTGGGAGGCGCAGCCCTGAAGCAATTTTGCCTCCGGGGATCCTAAAACCTCCACTCACTTTTAAATTGCTCAGATACAAACTTGTCTTTACAAAGAAAATCTGGGAGGCAGTAAGAGCGGAATGATTTGGGGTGCTAGCTACTTTTTCTTGAAGTTGGAGATGGATGGCAGAGGGAGGGACTGGTCCTCAGGAAATGGGCTGTTTACAGCGTAAACAAGCGGTAACCACAGAAACACCTGCTACTCCGGAGGCCCTGCGGAGCCACCGCCCCCCCCTTGCGGCCACATCCGGGCACTCCGCCGAGGTTCACACGCGACAGCCGTTTAGCTTATTTGAAAGGCACGCACAGCCAATCAGTGGGCACCGCCTGGAGGCGGGCGTTAGGCCGGGACCAATCAGCACCCCCCTCCCAGGCTCCAGCCTATCAAAAGGAGGCTGACAGAGGGCGCCAATCAGCATGGCTCTTAGAGAGAGCCGCTGGATTTTTGAATCGGCGGCGGCAGCCTCCCTCGAGCCATGGCGGCGCCAGGGAGGGTCATGAGTGTTTGAGGACGATAACCAAGGACTGCTCCGGAGTGGTTCTTTTTTATACTTAAGCGTGGTGAGTGGGGTGAGTGGCGATGGGAGGGATACGAGTGCCGGGAACCGTGCGCGGCGGCGGCGTCCCCGCCGGGGTGGGTTGCACGGGCTCCAGCCCCGTCTGCGTCCCTCGCCGTCGCCTCCTCATGCTCCCTTCCCTCCCGCGTCCTCTATCCCCGGCCCGGTCTTTCCTTGCATTCCCAGTCCGGGACTTCTCCCTACCCTGCTGCTGCCGGGCGCCCCTGGGTGGAAGAGTGCAGTTGGGACCCAGGTTTTGGCCGCCCGCCCGCTGCAGCCCTGAGCAGCCCTGATTGCTTTGTGGTTTCCTCCTGGAATTCCTACAGAATTCCGATTTTCGATTTTTTAAAAATATAAAACCCAGGCGGCCCCGCCTCTTCCTGGCCGCAGATGTGTGTGGTTAGTGGTTAAGGAAGCGCTATCAGTGGAGTTAGACCCGGCTTGGAGTCGCCTTGGGAGCAACTTTCCCTAGCCACAAACTGGAGATGGCAGTAGTATTCTTCTGTTAGGGTGACTGCAAAGGTTAAGCGAAAAGAAGGAAAATGATTTAGGATAGTGCCTGCAAAATAGTAAGCTCTAAGTAATTGAGAATTGCTAATCACAGTTACTAATAACATATTCTCTATTGTAATTTGGTTCTTGGCCCTGGATAAGTTGAAACTTAATTTAAAAGAAAAGCTATAATGACCGTTTAAAAGGGCCCATGTGTTGTCAGGCAGGGTCTCAGGTAGTCCAGCATGGGCTTGTAGAGCCAAGGGTGACATTGAACTTCGGATGTGCTTGCCTCCACCTGAGTGCTTGGGTTACAGGTGCACTTTCACCGTGCCTGGTTTACGAGTATTTTGGGGATGACTTCATACATGCTACTACAGAGCTACATTCGAAGACAAAGATGTGTTGTTTTATGATCAACTGATTCTATTGTCTTTATTTAAAAAATCTCAATTGAATGTGAAAAATGCGATTGGTGCATTTCAGGTTGAAATCAGATTGTTGGGTGTTAGTTATGTCTTTAATTTACCATGTAGTTCTTTTGCTGTAAAATTTGAGGCTGTTTTGGAAAAAAGTGATACATGTAGTTAAGCATGTTAAGTTAAAGAGGGTGATGTAAATCAAAGTGTCACTAAAAATGCATTCTAAAAGCTGGGTGGTGGTGGTGCACGCCTTTAATCCCAGCCCTGGATCTCTGTGAGCCTGAGGCCAGCCTGGTCTAAGGAGCAAATTCCAGGACAGCCAGGGTTACACAAAGAAACCTGTTATTAAAAAAAAATCATACATATACACACATGTGTATGTTTTTTACAATGCATATGTGCATATATATATGTACTGTAAAGCCTTGAGACATGGTTGTACATAATTATGGGCTGTATTTTGACTTTTTTTTCTGGGGCTCAGAGTTGAACACAGAAACTCCCATGCTTTACCACTAAGCTACACTTCAAGCAATAATGGAGTATTTTAGTATATTTATACAATGTATAATGATCAGATCAGGGTAATGGTTATGTCATTGGAAGCATTTATCATTTCAAAATTCTTTTCTACTAATCTTTTTCTTTTTAATGAAGCACAGTTGGAGCTTGTTAGAGTAAAATTTTTAAATTAATTAATTAATTTTTTATGTATATTGGTGGTTTGCCTGAAAGTATGTCTGTGAGGGTGTCAGATCCTGGAGTTTACAGTTGTAAGCTGCCATGGGGGTGCTGGGAATTGAACCTGTGTCTTCTGTAAGAGCATTCAGTTTAATGGCCCAGCCACCTCTTCAGTACCAGGGGGAGCTTCAATATAAATTGAGCACTGTGTTCTACTAACCATTTCATTAATAACTGCTGTTGACTTTTTTTTGAGATCAGGTTTCATGTGATCTTCCTGCTTTCACTACCATGAGCAGCTCAAATGGTCTTTTTTTTTTTTTTAACTTTGTTTATTTATAGTCTTCTGCCTGCGTGTATGCCTGCCTGCTAGAAGACGGCACTAGATCCCACTATAGACTGTCATAAGCAGGAAGTGGCTGCTGGGAATTGAACTCAGGACCTCTGGAGCCATCTCTCCAGCCCCTTGAATTTCTCTTTTTTTCTTTTTTTTCATTCTTTTGCATACAATACATTCTGATCATTTCTTCTCCTAGAGCTTCCCCATCTCCCCACCTCCTTACCTGTCCAACTCCACAGCTGCTTTATCTGTCTCTTTAGAAAACAAGAAAAAACAAAACCAGCAGAATAGAAAAAAGGAAGAAAATACAAAGAAAAGTATGAGAAGCACATACACAAGCAGAGAGACACCCAAAACCCCTAAGAGCACAAAATGGCAAATCATAGTATATAAACAAAAGACCAGGAAGGTGTTTTAAAAAAAAGAGCCCAGACAAAGAATTATGAGGCAAAATATTTCCACAAAAATTCCAGGGTTGGTTTTCACTTGGCCACCTACTATTGGGGATGCAGCCTGCCCTTGGTGGTTTGTTTACCCAGCGAGGCTCAGGAGAGCACTGTATTTTTCTTTTGAGTGGTTGTCAGTTGGAGATAGCTTCTTGGTTAGGGATGGGAGATCATGTCAGCTTCCCACTCTCAGTGCTAGGACCCCATTTGGCTTGGACCTTTGCAGGCCCCCATGCATGGCGCCTCAGTCTCTGAGCTCCTATGTACCTCAATCCTATTGATTTAGAACTCCGTGTGTCCTTGGTTGTCCCCGTCCCCGCTCTTACACTCTTTCCCCCTCCTCTTCTGATGGAGACATCCCATTTAGGACTGAGTGTTACAAGGTATCTGATTCTCTTTGTAATGTCTGGCTGTGAGTTTCTATATTTTTTCTCAACTACTGCCAGTTCAAGCTTGTCTGATGGCTGAGCAAGACACTAATCTATAAGTATGTATATTAGCAGAATGTTGCTAGAAGTCATTATGTTGTGACATTCCTTTAAGTGACTTAGAACCTTGTTTTTCACTAGAAATGATTTTTAGGAGATGTAGGGAAAAGACTGGAATTTTAATTGATTCTGAATAAAGACAACTATTGGAGCACTTCTGTAGAGAACTTTCGAATGATTGTCATGGATAAGATAATAAACAATACTGTTGTGAATATTGTAAATATGAAAATTTGTCATTTCAAAGTACCTATTCAGTTTCTATCACAGCCTGGATTGAGTTTCGTATCTGTTGGCTTCCTTCATACGGAAACTGAGGCCTAATGCAGAGAGGAGCCAGGAAACAGGCAGGTGTCTGACTTTTCAGTGACTTTTACAACTGTTGTAGAGTCACTATCTAGAAATGAAGATTCGTACCTTACTGTTTTTCCAGAGCATACTTTTGCTTCTTTACTAAGCATCCAGAGCAGTCTCTATGAATCTGAGTCATGAGCGCTCATGTAAAGGTGAGACTGGATAGAGCCCAGGGCCTGCAGCATGCCTGGCAAGCATTTTACCACTGAGCTACAATCAAGCTCCGTGCTGCAATCAATTTTCTTCCCCATTTGCCTAACTTTTCAGTTCTTACTAAAGTCTTAGAAATCAAAAAGAGCTTTCTTCCACAGTCCAGGTTTACATTGGTACTAATTTATATTTGTTTGTCTTGTCAAATCTTAGGGATGTTTGGCAATTAATGTAAAATGTCAGTAATATGTAAGCTGTACAGTTACCTATGAAAGGTTCTGAGAAATCCGTAAAGGTTGAGTCGAGTGATGATTGAAGTTGAAGAGCTGATCACGACTAAATATGCACAGTTATAAAGTACATTACTATTTGAGTTTGAAAACTGCTCAGAAATTCATTGTGGTTCATAGAGTTTGACGCTGGAGTTACTAGAGTTGAGGCTGACAGGCCTTTAGGGCAGGGAGGATGAGGTGAAGAGTAAAGATGGGATTATTGTAAGTAGATGTTGTGTAGACATTTTGGAAGAGAAAGGTTGAAGACAGATGTAGAAGAAAGGTAGAAAAAATTTTGTGTGCTTATGTCAGGGAGTTTGTGTCCTTTTGATGCACTTTGTTATTTATTTGCTACTGTATTTCTATAAGCCAGTTCTGAGCAGCTGTGTTTTATAGAGGAGGAAACCTGGGATCACAGAGGTTTTGAGACAGGGTCTCTTGTACCCCAAATTGGCTTTGAATTCATGTTGCCAGGGATGACCTCCTACTCCTGATCTTTCTATGTTCACCTCCCGAGTGCTGATTCCAGGCATGATCACCCCCTAGCACCTGGGCCCGGCCGATAAATCCTCCATAACACAAGTAACCGCTTCTAATGCAGTGGGTGTTGACCTGTGGGTCAAGATCCCTTTGGTGCTCATCAGCTATCCTGCGTTTCAGATGCTTACATTATGATTCATAACAATAATTTTATGGTGGCAGTTGTGACAACACAAGGAACTGTATTAAGGGGTTTCAGCATTAGGAAGGGTGAGAAGCGCTGCTATAATGTTGTTGCTCAGGGACCAGGTTTGTTTCATGTTTCATGTTTGTTTCAGCCGCCATCAAATAGCACAAACAATGGCTGACAACAGTGTACTGACATCTACTGAGATAACCAGCTTGGCGGATTCTTCCATCCTTGATTCTAAAGTTACTGAAATGTCCAAGGAAAACTTGTGCATGGCGTCTACTTCAAATGTTGATGGTAAGCCTGTTACCTGCTTTTAAAAACACAGAATTGTTCTTTAATCCTAAAGTACCAGCTACTGATTTTGTTGTAGCTGGTGTAACAATTGTTAAGTCAGAACATGTGTACTGAGTAACTAAATCGGGTGCTGTGTCTACGTTCTCTGTCCATCATGTGGCTAATGCTTCCTCACTTTGAAACCCGAGTGCCTTAGTTGTTACCACTTTCTTTGTAGTGGGGCAGTAGAGCTAGAAAATAGTTAAGCTAGAATTTGTGGGTGGTTAAGTGAGGAGCCACTTGGATCTCGCAGCCTGGTTCCCGGCCTTTCCTAAAGGCTCCTGTGTTCTAAGGAGGATCATGCTTGATAATGTTTCTTTGGGGGAATTGTTTCTTTGTTGTTTGTATACCTTTTACTACAATGTATCTTGTTTTTTAAAAGTGATACATAGTCAAATAAATGTGTAGGGAACTCAGAATTAGGTTATTTTTAACTTGGGGGGAATGTTGTGCTCTCCTCAGATTTTCTAGCTAGGAAGGTCTAGGAAGTACTGACTGTGCTTTTGGTACCCTAACACATTGAAACATTTCACATTTTAATAGAAGAAATGCTTCAGGTTGAAACGAGACTGATACTGGTCCAGGACGCTGGGAAACAAGAAGAGCTTGTGACGGCGGTAAAGGTAAGGGGTTTGGATTTGTTGTTCATTCCTAGAGTCTTCTCCGGTCTTTGCAAATGCTTTCCTATCTTTCTTAATCTTAAACTTGAGTCTCTTTTCTACAGACTGTTAAGATAATGGAAGTCCCTGTTATAAAGATAAAAGAAAGTTGTCCTGGAAAATCGGATGAAAAGTTAATAAAAAGTGTTATTAATATGGTAGGTCAAGCATCTCATTGCATGTGGCATGCCTCACTTCCCTCGATTGAATTGCTTCACTCTGGTGACTGGAATCAGGCACGAGGTGTATTGTGCACTCTGAATTAGAAATGTAGGAAGTGGTTGGTACTTACTTTAGAAAACTATGGCATCTATTATAAATCCAAATTTTAGAGACTTTATTATCTAATTTAAATAAAGGATATAATGTGTACAAACATCTGATAAATTTCTTTACGTGTTTTAGTACTTTTCCCCATTGATTTTGTTTAGTTTAAATTCTTGTTTTTCCAAATTATTAATACCAATAAGCAGTGATTATCAATTATTTTGCCTCAGAATGTATAATATATCTAATTTAGTCCATCTCTGTAATAACCACTATTTATTTTGCCAGGTTGAACCCAGGGCCTTGTGTATGCTAGGCAAGCATTTTACTGCTGAGCTAATGCCCTGGCCTTCAGCTACATTAGTTTGCTAGGGCTGTTTAAACAAAATAACACGGACTAGATAGCTCAAACAACAGAACTGAATTTTCATAGTTTTGGGAGCTAGTCAAAAGGTGGTACCAGCATGTTTAGAGTCCCTGGAAACTTCCCTTGGCCTGTACGTGGCTTCCGTGCTCTAACCGGACCTCCTGGTTTCCATGTAGTACATTTTTGCAGTACTTTGTGTGTTCACATTTTCTATGAGCACCCCAGTCAGACTGGCTGAGGGTTACCTCTTTTTTTTTTTTTTTTTTTTTTTTTGGTTTTTATGAGACAGGGTTTCTCTGTATTGTTTTGGAGGCTGTGGGTCCAGCCTGACCTCCAACTCACAGAGATCCGCCTGCCTCTGCCTCCCGAGTGTTGGGATTAAAGGCGTGCACCACCACCGCCCGGCAAGGGTTACCTCTTTAACATCCTTACAATACCATTACATTGTGAGATAAGGCTTCACTCTTTATTTCTGGTTGGGGGTTCAGTATAAGAACTTCAGGGATAGCTGATTTGACCCATCACTTCATTCTTTCTAATAAAAGCCCAAATAATTTATTTATCAATTCAGAATTATCTATTTTCTCTAGACAAGGATTTCTGTGTGTATCTTTGATTGTCCTGGAACTCACTCTGTAGACCAGGCTGGTCTCCAACTCTGCCTCCCGAGTGCTGGGATTAAAGGTGTGAGCCACCACCTCCTAGCTCCATGCAGGATACTTTTTTCTGGTGGTCTGTTCACATAGGAATTATGTAAGCTCTGCCGTATGTTTTTTTTTTTTTGTTTGTTCGTTTGTTTGTTTGTTTTTCGAGACAGGGTTTCTCTGTATTGTCTTGGAAGCTGTCCTGGAACTCGCTTTGTAGACCAGGCTGGCCTTGAACTCACAGAGATCCACCTGCCTCTGCCTCCAGTGCTGGGATTAAAGGCGTGCGCCACCAATGCCCGGCAGCTCTGCTGTATGTTAATTCTTTTTTTTTCTTATTGTAAGATACCTTTGTATATTGTACATCTGTCCTATGCAGCCAAGTTGGCTCATGACCTCTCTCTTTACAGTATATGTATTGAAATGAGAATGTTAATTAGGAACCTTTTATTGACTGTGGTAGTTTATAACTTATGTTTTTTTCATAGTTTTTTGAAGATAGCAGTGTACGTACATTATTAGTTTTCCTGATCAGAACAAAAAATAGTGGATGAGTATACACCTAATGCAGTGTATCAAAATAGGTGTACTTAATTTTTCTTTCTTTTTTTTTTAGTAAGTGGAGCAGTCTTACTCAGCAGTCTGAGGCTAGGAAGGTTGCTGAGGGTTCAAGGCCAGCCTGGGCTATATAGAGAAGTTCAGGCTAGCCTGGGTAATGTGAATCTTTGCCTCAGAAAAAGAGTAAGAAGTCATTGGTAGAGTGTTTGCGTAGTATGCTCAGAGTTATAGGTTTAGTCCCCATTACCACCAAAAGCTAAAATTACAACAACAGAAAGGAAAATTTCTGGGGTGTTGTAGTACTCAGAACTTACTGTGCGTGCTAGTGGTTTATAGGCTGCTGAGTCACAGAGCCTGAGTTTATGTCTTTACAGTATCCACCTGTAAGGTTTTAATATGGATGGGGATTTATGGCACAGAAGTAGAGAAATATAGCTTTTCACTACTGTATGGTATATGATTGGTAATAATATGTTGTAACACTTAAACATTTTTTACAAATCTTAAAGATGTCAAGTACAGGAGTCCTTCTTAGGGAGTCATGTGTTTTATATGGCTTATGAATGATTTTTTTATTTGTAATAACTAGGAAATTAAAGTACCCTGTGTAAAGATGGACTCAATGGAAGAATTTGGAGGTTTGGATTCCCCAGAATTTGAGAATGTATTTGTAGTCACTGACTTCCAGAACTCTGTCTTCGATGACTTACGCAAGACTGACTGTCGAATTGTTGGGCCACCAGTCATACTCAACTGTGCACAAAATGGAGAGGTAAGAAACATATTTATCATGACTTTTCAAGAACACGTTTTTTATTCGTGAACTTGTGAAAATCTGTACTCAGAAAATCCTGTTATTGTTGAGTGTATGTAACACTTAGAATAAGAATAATTCATAGTTGCTGGGTATGGTTGCTCAAGCCCGTAATCCTAGCACTTGGAGGTGAAAATAGGAGGATCTGGAGTCAAGTGCATTCTTGTCCATGTGGTGAGTTCTAGGCTACACGAGGCTCGCTCTCCCCCAACAAAAAGATAATAGGGGCTATTCTTTTTTTTTCAAAGATTTATTTATTTATTACATATACAGTGTGCTGTTTGCATGTATGCCTGCAGGCACCAGATCTCATTACAGATGGTTGTGAGCCACCATGTGGTTACTGGGAATTGAACTCGGGACCTCTGGAAGAACATCTAGGGCTCTTAACCGCTGAGCCATCTCTCCAGTCCCCAATAGGGGCTATTCTTATGTAGTCTTTTTTGATTTTTTTTAGAGTCAAAACGCAAGGCCATTGAAAGTGAGACAGTACGGACTGTGTGTATGTAAAAGCACATACATATAGTCTTACTTGTTAAACCTGTAATACCTTAGAGATTTGCAGAGGCTTGGCTTCCAGAAATGTGTACAAATAAACCTTTCCTACTATATCTGTTATTATAAGATTTCAATTAGGAAAATTATTTTAGCTCCCCTCTACCCTAATTTTTAACATTGTGTGTGTGCCTGAGTGTCATATGTGTAAGAGTGTCACAACTTGGAGGACTGTTCTCTCCTTTTATTATGGTGTTTTCAGGGTTCAAACTCAGGTCTTCAGGCTTGCCAACAAGTGCTTTTTTTTTGAGACAGTCTCCCTGTGTAGCCCTGGCTCTCCTGGAACTCACTTTGTAGACTAGCTTGTACTTGAACTGAGAGAGAAATCTGCCTGCCTCTGCCTCTGAGTGCTCTGACTAAAGGCACATACCACTACACCTAGCTACATTTTAAAACTTTATTTTGAGGTAAGGTCTCCTTGTATCTTTGATGGCCTTGAATTCATGGTCCTGTCTCAACCTGAATGCTGAGATTGGTTACAGAGTTTCCTACGTTTCCTACCACACCTGGTGGGGAGATGTTTAATTGTGGAATTTAAAGTCTGACGTTTCTTTTTTTTTTTTTTTTTTTGGTTTTTAGAGATAGGTTTTCTCTGTACTGTTTTGGAGGCTGACCTGGAACTTACTCTGAAGACCAGGCTGGCCTTGAGCTCACAGATCTGCCTGCCTCTGCCTCCCAAGGGCTGGGATTAAAGGCGTGCACCACCAACGCCCGGCTGAGTCTGACTTTTGTTACTTTTCCCCCCTGCATATTGGAAAATTCAAATAAGCCTTGGGCATTGAAAAATTGTCAAGAAGAGAAATTGTTAAGCTTGAGGACATGTTTTCTAAATCCTAACTAAAAAGGAAGCTCATATGTTTACATTGTGTCCTCCACAGCCCTTGCCGTTTTCCTGCCGGCCACTGTATTGTACAAGTATGCTGAACCTCGTGCTGTGCTTCACTGGATTCAGGAAGAAGGAGGAGCTCGTAAGTACAAGGCAGCTCCAGAGACATTTTCCTAGTAATGGAGATTTAAATGTGTTTGTTTATTTTTGGTGTCATGAGTTCATTTGAAAAGTCTTGAAAGAAAAATGCTGTGACTATCAGGCTCTAAATTTTACTTTTTTGTTGTTTTTCAAGACTGTTTCTCTGTGTAGCTTTGGAGTCTATCCTGGAAGTCACTTTGTAGACCAGAGTGACTTGGTCTTGAACTCACAGAGATCCACCTGCCTCTGCCTCCTAAGTGCTGGGATTAAAGGCATGTACCACCACCGCCCGGCAGGTTCTAAATTTTAAAGAAATAAATACTTAAGAGCTTTGTTTAAAAAAAATGTTTTGCAGGTGATAACTGGCATGTAAATTAATAGAAAGTTTTACTTTCCTGCTAATTATTAGCTACATTGGCTGCTAATTGAAGTTTTTGTTATACAGAATTAATGTTACACAAGCTAACCTTTAAAATATTTTTTATCACTACAGAGAAATCACAGAAACTTTTTTTTGGTTCACAATCTTTCCTAGTAAGTTTTGTTGTAATCTTGTAGGACAAAATGTTGATATACTATAACCTGTTGCTAAAAATAAATATATTTGGAGCTGGAGAGAAGGCTCGGGTTAAAAGGATTGCTGTTCATTAGAGGACAGCTGCCTGGAATACCAGCTCTTGGTGAGCTGACACCTGCCTCTGGGGTCCTGCTTCTATGTGTGCAGACTCCTAGAATAAAGATACACTCTTGAGAAAAGAAGTCAGCATATTTGCTTGTGGGTGTATGGCCTTGGCTTCTATACCCAATTTTGTAAAAAGCAAATAAGGTGAGTAAGTGAAAATAATAAGTCCGGGTGCTTAGGCAGTACTAGAGTCGATTGTCAGTTTAAACTTAATGCTCCTTGTGTATTGTTTGTGTTTGTATAGTTTTGCCTATAGCAATAGGAAGCTACTCTTTAAAAACATTTTTTACACAAAATTTAGCATTTATAAAAGTTTGTAAAAGTTTTGTAATGTAATGCTAGATGAGATATTAATACAGATTTTTGTTCAAGTTAATTAAAATCAATTTTGTTCAATTTTTCTCTTGAGGTCAATTTGGTGACATTGGTTCATCATATGGGTGGAGTTATTCGAAAAGAATGTAATTCCAAAGTAACGCATCTGGTGGCAAATTGCACACAAGGAGAAAAATTCAGGGTATGAAAACTTTAAATTTTTTTCAGTATAGTATTACTCTGTAATAGTTCTTTTGTTTATGTTTGTTTTGAAATGATTTCATACTCTAGTCCAGGAGAGTATAGAAGTCATTTTGTAGGCCTTGCTAGCTTTGAACTCATAAATGTGTCGCCTTTTCTGTTATCTAACTCCTTCAGTTGTAGAGGTGATCCACTGTGCCTGATTTGTGTGGGTTTAATGACATCACCGTTGTTGATTCTGCCGTTTATTGAGGGTCAGGTTGAAGTGTTGCCATTGGAATGAATGTTGAGTAAAGGGTCTTTGATGTAGCTCAGTTACTGAGTGCTTGCCTAGCGTGCTTGAAGGACTGAGTCCTAGCACTGTATCCCGGTCCTAGTAGTGCCTGAGTATAATTCCAGCATGGTAAGAGTAACAGGAGGCTCAGCAGGTTAAGGTCTTTGACTGCATAGGTGGTTCAAGGTTAGCCTGTGTGTGTTATGTTAGGCCCTATTTCACAAAACAAAAGGGAAGCAAAACAGAATCTTGAGTGCAGGTTTAAATCACAGGTTTGTGGCTCATTTAGGTTTTCAGAAGGCAGTGGAACTCAAGTAGATGTTTCAAGATAAGTGGGATGATGGGAGTTGGGAGATGGGTTTTGCTAGCAAAGGTTATAACCGTACTGACAGGTCAAAAATTGTGAGAACATATTCATTACCTTTATAGGAGCATAGCCTTTTATAAAGTGATCCTGTGTCTTTGCATGTGTTAATTAGCTGTATATTAAAAAGGGACATTATCTGTTATGTATACAGTGTTCTGCCTGCATGTATGCCTGCAGGCCAGAAGAAGGCACCAGATTTATTGATGGTTGTGAGCCACCATGTGGTTGCTGGGAATTGAACTCAGGACCTCTGGAAGGGCAGTCAGTGCTCTTGATCTCTAAGCCTTCTCTCCAGACCCCAGGAGAAAGTATTTTTTTCCCAAGACAGGGTTTTTTTTTTTTTTTTTGTATGTTTTGTTTTGTTTGATTGAGACAGGATCTCTATTATGTAACCATGACTGTCTTGGAATTCAATGTATAGGCTAGACTGGTCTAAAACTCACAGTGATCCCCTTGCTTCTGCCTCCGAGGTGCTGGGATTAAAAATGAGGGCCATCATTCCTACCCACATATCCCTGTCGAGCCTCCCAAATGCTGGGATTACTGGACTATGCCATAGTGCCAGCTGCAAACAACTTAGTAGGATTGAAATCTATTCTAAGTTGTAGTTGAAGTTTACATTCTCTTTTGTGTTTGTGACATGGCCCATGTGTGGAGGTCAGAAGACAACTTGCAGGCATAGGTGGAGACTCATGGGTCCTGGGGCTTGCATGGCAAGTGGTGTTAACCACTGACTCATGTCACTTCTCCTAGGTGAATCATCTTAACTGGAGTTGTCATTCATTCCCACCTTCTCAGTGTATTTATGTAGGAAGTAGTAATTGGCTTGAATTTCCCCTACACTTGTTTTCATTTGTGTGTGCATGTGTTGTGTGTGTATGCCATGTTGTACATGTGGCAACCAGAAGAAAACTTATAGATCAGCAACTTTCAGCCTTATTGCTGTGGTGTGTGAGTGTTGTATGTTTTGTCAGTATGCATGTTTGTGTACCATGTGCCTGTCCAGTGCCTCTAGAGCAGTGGCTGTCACCCTTCCCAGTGCCGTGACCCTTTAATACAGTTCTTCATGCTAATGGTGACCCCAACCATAGAATTATTTTTGCTGCTACTTCTTAACTGTAATTTTGCTGCTGTTATGGATCCTAATGTAAATATATGAAGAATACCTTGTGATACGTGACCCCCGCGGGGGTGGCGACCATGGGAGGAGATTTGCTGTTCTAGGGATAGATAAGGAGAGCTAGCAATGGTGTATACCCGATAAGGAGGAAGTGTCTCCATGTCATAGGTGTGCTTGAAAATTAAATGTACTTACCTAATTGATTCCTATATACTAAGGAAGTAATATTGTTCTCCATTACTAGTAGGCTTACAGATCCCTATTGTGGTAAAATATACCTAAAATCTACTACAACTTCAGTCATTTTAAGTTTTGCACTTCAGTGTAATTATTGCTATAATCCATCTATTAATCCTTGTTTTAACTCTTGAGGGCTTCTCCTTCCCAGATAAACACTTACTTTCTGTCTTTGTGAATGCCAGTATTCTAAGTAACTTATTAAGATGAATCTTGTTTTTTGTTTGTAACCAGCCCCCCAAACAATGACAAACATTTATAGCCTACCGAATGAGCAAAAAATCAGCCATCCTACCTTTTAGGAATATGGGCATTGTATTCTCTGGGCTGCTTTTTGTTGTCTGGGGGTGCTGAAATCTTTGGGGTACCCTGAGAAAATTTGGATAATGGTCAAGTCATGTCTAGAATAGTCTGTGAGGTTGGACCATCTCAGCTAGCATCCTTGAAGTTGTTCTGGATTCAAAATTTTGAGGAAACTGCAGCAGAGGTACCTTAAGAGGATGGATTACCTGGACCACCCATTTTCAATGGTGTCTGGTCCCTTTGCTCTGTCTTGTAGTATTTCTAGGTTTATTTATGTCTATAGCCAGGATTTTCAGGGAGTATTCCCCAATAAAATCTGATATCTGTCAACAAAAAAAAGATAAATCTTGTTTTTTTAGTTTATTGTAAACAGTCTAGTAGCATCACACTTAGTAATGACAACTTACCCTCCAAACAGTATCAAAATCTTTATATAGATTCAGAAAAGTGGGCTGGTAAAGGATATTCATTTTAGGTCAGTTTTATGGTATACATGGTAAGCTTTTCAGTTGTCTATTCAGGACTTTATACGTAAAAAGTAACACTATTCATAAAACTCAGGTAATATATATTACCTTTGTTTTAAGATTATAATATCCTAAAAAAAGAAATATGAAAATACACATTGCTTTTATTTTTATAATACTGTACCATTCTACATTAAGTTAGACAACAAGATTATTATTATTATTGTTATTTTTTTGGCTTTTTTTGAGACAGGGTTTCTCTGTGTAGATTTGGAGCCTGTCTTGGAACTCACTACTCTGTAGACCAAGCTGGCCTTGAACCCAAAAGAGATCCACTTGCCTCTGTCTCCTGAGTTCTGGGATTAAAGGCATGGGCCACCACCACCTGGCTAAGATTATTCTGATAATTACAAGATCACATACTGTGTCCTCATATTTGTCTTAATAGTATCAAGGTCAGTGTCAGTTTCTGGTGCTGGCTATACTGCCATAGCAGGGTCTCTCCCACACACCACCCCACCCCTACCCCCACCACTCATACACTTGAGAACCGCTGTTTCAGAAGTTTGGTTCTGTTTTTCCACCATGTGGATTTTGGTGTTTGAGCTCAGGTCATCAGGCTTGACAACAGGCACTGAGCCATCTTACTAGACCTCCTCTAATAATAAAGCTTACATTCTAAGAATTTAGTGACTTAGTCATGTTTTCTTTTGTAGTCCTATGTTGGCCAATACTTCCAAGGTGTAAAACAGGAAAAAAAAGGAGAAATCAAAGTTTTAAGGATGAATTTAAGAGTTATATCTATGGAAAATGGAATAAAAGACTTGGGTACTTCTCCTGGGCAGCACAGTATAGCTGACCCTATTGACAGGGGTGTGGGTGAAGCAGAACTTGGGAGATCTGACTCTGTCTGTCATTTGCCATATGGTGGTATAGGCCTGGGTGAGATCCTACAGGTAGGAGGGTGGGTGGGAGAGCTGCCTCTGCCCCTTATCAGCTGCAGCACTCAGGAGAGTGTCCCCTGCACCTTGCCTGGGCATCACAGTAGAGCTGGTGGTCCTCATGGTCCTCATTGGTCCAGGTGTGGGAGAGCTGGCCCTGAGGGCCTGAAAGCAGGAGGGCTGGCCCCACCCCTGCTCACCACTGCAAGGGGTGAAGTAGCCAGGCAGTGCTAGAGAGCGCACCCTGGTGGTGAGGACAGGAGAGAGCTAGAGGGCTGACCAGGCTGAGAACCAGGGTTATGAGTTGGCCATCCCAAAATCTACCCCATCTGTGATCTATTGGAGCATGTGAAGGGATTGGTCCTGCAGACCCAAAGCTGCAGGATCTCCACAACACACGGCAACAGTAGGATAACCAAGAGGAGTCCCAGTGAGGGCCCAGCATCAATAGTGGAGCAGAAACAGAGGCCTTGATCCAGACCAATGACTTTGCAATGAACACGTGCAAGTACAGATATGCAGACAAAGGGATTCACTGAGTGTTTCACTGTGTCACACTATAGCTTCCATGATGGGATTTTTTTTCATTTTTCCTTTTCTCTCTTAAATTTTATTGTATTTTGGGGGGAAGGTTGCAAGGGCAAAGGGCAGATACTTAGGGACAGGGAAGTGAATGGGATTGAGATGCATGATGGGAAAGAGACAAAGAATAAATGGAAAGTTTAAGGAATTGGGTACTAAAGAGCTTACTTTAAAGTTATCTTAATTTTAACAAAGTGTAATGTAAAATTGTGTTACAAGTTTTGTATAAAATTCTTTAGAAGCACTTCCTTGAATGCACTTATTTAAAGTGAAAACTCAATTGATGTTAATATTTCCTAGGTTGCTGTGAGCCTGGGTACTCCAATTATGAAGCCAGAGTGGATTTATAAAGCATGGGAAAGACGGAATGAGCAGTAAGTGCTTAGGAAGTGCATTGTGTGATTTCAACATGTTATGTATTTATTTAAAAATGGATTTTCTGTGTGTGTACTTGAATGTATGTTTTTTTGTGCCATGTGTGTGCAGTACCTGAGGAAGCCAAAAGTTGGCATCAGAACCTCAGGAACTAGAGTTACCATGTGGGTTCTAGGAATCAAACCTGGGTCCTGTGGAATAACAGCCAGGGTTCTTAACTACTGAGCCATCTCTCCAGCCCATCATGTTATTTTTTAAAATTTGTGCTTTTAACCTTTGTTTTAAAGATAAAGCTACATGCCAACAAAAACTAAATTTGTAGATCATACAGAAAAAAATAAATTCAGTCTTTGATGAATAGCTTAGGAAGCAATTAAAATGTTTGTCATTGGGTTTTACTTTGTAAACTACCTTGTGTGTGTGTGTGGGCACGCATGCTGCAGCACAAATGTGGAGATCATGCTCACTATGGAGTTAGTCTCTCCCGTTTACTTTTATATGAGTTCTGGGGATTGACCTTAGGCTTCACCTGCTGAGCGATCATCTCATGGGACTGATTTTTTGCGAAGTAATTTTGTCTGGGCAGTCGAGATGCTTTGTGGGTAGAGGTGCTTGCTACCCAGCCTGCTGACCTGTGTTTGATTCCCAGGGATCACATCAGGGAGAGATTGGACTTCTAGGGGTTGTTTGCTGACTGTCACATGTGCACTGTGGCTCCCATGTGCACACATACAAACCCATTTTTGATTATCATTAACATTCTAAAATTTACTAGACAATAGCTTAATGCTTTCAGGTATTTGGATATGCTACAGTTTTTTCTACTTTATGTTTAGATATGTTTGAATCGGTACTTAAAATTTATTATCTTGTTTTTCTGACTTTCCAATTACTCATTCTCCGCTGTGGCCTTTCATTATCTAAAATTTCATGAAATTGGAGAATATCTGTATTACAGAATTCCAAAAACACAGACATGATTTGGATGATGTGAAGGTTGTCTGTGGTTACATTTTGTCTGATATAATAGACCCCTGGACCTATACATGTTACTAAGCAACATCCCAGACAACCCCCTCTCTTTTAAGAAAACAAAACCAAACCAAAAGCGAACTACAGTTGTGAACAGTTCAGGATCTTATGTAAAATATTTTCAATGAATGCATTAGTCTAAGCCTGTTAGAATGCTGAGATGTTGTAAATGGATGTGCTTAACTTATGGAGTTTAAGCTGCCTTTACAAAGTGCACATTTGTTTTTAGATGTTTCTGCGCAGCAGTTGATGACTTTAGAAATGAATTTAAAGTTCCTCCATTTCAAGATTGCATTTTAAGTTTCCTGGGATTTTCGGATGAAGAGAAAAACAGTATGGAAGAAATGACTGAGATGCAAGGTACCATAGCATGATGTATGTGTGGTTAATATTGGCAGAGGCTGTGTCTGAACACACTGAGGGGGTGTCTGAACCTGGAGGTGGGAGATCATCCTGTGAGTGTGCCGTCCGTGCATACAATGAGAAAGTGAGCTGGGCACCTGCGTCCTCGTTTATTTCTCTGCTTCCTGAAATGTGACCACCCACTTCATGCTTTTGCTGCCATGGCTTACCTGCCATGAATGGACCCTTGAACTGAGCCAAAATAAACCGTTGGAGCCCTTATTAGAAACAGCTAATATCACAAAAATACATTTTATTTCTCAGGCTTGTTTAACTACTTCCTAATTCATAGCTGTTTTAGAGACAGATTTGGAGAACAGTTCTTTGGCTGATTTATGCTTATCTGTGTTCCTGCTCTCTTTAGGAGGCAGCTGGTTACCAGTTGGAGATGAAAGGTGCACTCACCTTATTGTTGAAGAGAATACAGTGAAGGAACTTCCATTTGAACCCTCAAAGAAACTTTTTGTTGTCAAGCAAGAGGCAAGTAACTCCAGAATGAAGTTAGTCAGCTTTAACAATACTATACCTTCTCTGTTAAGGTAGATTTAAAATTTCATCTAAATATTTTTTTCTCCTCTAGTGGTTCTGGGGAAGCATTCAGATGGATGCTCGTGCTGGAGAAACTATGTATTTGTATGAAAAGGTATGTTTTTGCTCTTGAGCTATTGGTTCTGTGAATTTTTTTTTTATAAAATTGATGCTTGTGTATCCAGAACATTTAGAAAGCATAGTATAATTAGTATACATGTCATATACCTCGCTGTTTAGAAGAAATAGTTGAGCTGGGCAGTGGTGGCTCATGCCTTTAGTCCCAGCACTTGGGAGGCAGAGGCAGGTGGATCTCTGTGATTTCAAGGATGGCCTGATTTACAGAGTGAGTTCTAGGACAGGTTCCAAAGCTACACAGAGAGATCCTGTCTCGAAAAACCAAACCAAACAAAAAGAAGAAATAGTTGAATACCCAGTTTCTTAGTTTATATAAATTTAAGTGAAACTGAAATGTAATGAGCCTTCTTTTAATGCCCCGACTAGCTTGCTTTATTTATTTATTTATTTAATTTAGGTTTTTGGAGACAGGGTTTATCTGCAGCTTTGGAGGCTGTCCTGGAACTTCCTCAGTAGACCAGGCTGTCCTTGAACTCACAGAGACCCACCTGTTTCTGCCTCCCAAGTGCTGGGATCAAAGGAATCCTCCACCACCACCACCACCACCACCACCACCACCACCACCACCACCACCACCACCACCACCACCACCACCACCACCACCACCACCACCACCGGGCTGCCCTGATTAGTTTTATGTCAGCTTGACACAGCTAGCGTCACTTGGGAAGAAGGAGCCTCAACTAAGAAAATATTCCCACCAGACTGGCTTGTGGGCAAGCCTGTGGTGGTGTATATTTAAATGTGAGAGGACCCTTGTCACTGTGGACTGTGTTCTTTTTGGCCTGGTGGTCCTGGGAACTATAAGAAAACAGGCTGAGCAACCCATGAAGACCATGGCCTCTGCTTCAGTCCCTGTCGCCAGGTGCCTAAGCTGCCTTCCCTGGATGACGGATGGACTGTAAGTTGTTTTTGGTCATGGTGTTTTATCGCAGACATTTAATCTAGCGCAAGTTATTCCCTGCTGATTATTGATACTAGCATAAACAGTAACACCCTTGTCTTTAGAAACTTCTAAGGCTACTAGATTAAGGTGCCTTATAACTGAATATTATGTTCTAGAGATTCTCATTCTGAGAGACTCTGGTAGGACAAGTTAATGTTGAATCGGTATCCTAGGTAAGGACATTAGGTAGAACAGGGGAGAGGTAGGAAAGCTTGGGACCACATTAAAATAGTAAGCAGTTGAGAATCACTTTAAACAACATGGGAAAGAAAACTAGCAGGTGTAAGCTCAATAGATAGGCAGACTCAAATGTTCTTAATATTCTGAAGAGCCAAGTATTTACCTTTCAGAATTGTTATTGTTAATTTAAAAAATGGTTTTCTTAGTAAAATGTAAGCAAGAAAGATCTCATTTCTTCATACTGGATATCAGCAAAGAGGAGTAGTAAACAAATTGTAGAAAGATTTATAAGGAGATTTACTTCGGTTTGAGATTTAGTCATTTTGAGTGGAGAAGCCAGGTGTGATGTATGTGACCATAATCCCATTACCTAGGAGGCTTCAGAAGGCGGCTTTCAGTGAGTTTGAGGCCAGCTTGACAACGTAGTAAGGTACCAGGTGAGCCCAGGCTACCCAGCAAGACACTGCCTCAGTAAGAGGAAAATAAGTTTTGAATGCTGTATTGAATATAAGGCTTTAGACTTAGTGTCCCCTCTGTAAACCTTACATAGTTATCTCACTGCTGCTTTATTGATGTCAAGTGCTCAAATAAAGTTAAAATGCGCTTTAGATGTAGTGAGAACTCTGTTTTCAGGAAATGCTGGTATATACTCTGTTCCCTCACTGCTGTATTCTTGAGACACGAGAAAAAGACTGTGGTTCATCCTCTCCCTTCATATGCTAACAGGAGTAGCGAGCAGATAAGCTAAAGGACCGTTATTCCGGGAGAAGCCGATGTGGAAAAGGAGTAGCTAAGCTAGCTACCAATTGCACTGGTGCTGACCATTGTGTTTTAGGAAGCTTCTAGTAGACTGTGAGATTCTAAGAATTACTGTGCAGAATTTGGAGCTGTGTCCGTTGAGGTGTGTCTTTTCATGTTTCTGTCTCAGCCATCATACTAAAAGTGGGTTTTTGTGCTCTTGATTTCAGACTAATACTCCTGAGCTCAAGAAGTCAGTGTCCCTGCTTTCTCTGAGCACTCCAAACAGCAACCGCAAAAGACGCAGACTCAGAGAAACACTGGCTCAACTCTCCAGAGAGACTGACCTCTCCCCTTTCCCACCTCGAAAGCGGCCCTCGGCCGAGCATTCCCTTTCTATTGGTTCACTGCTTGACATCTCCAACACACCTGAGTCCAGCATTCACTATGGAGGTAATAATCCCCATCTCATAAAATTAATCTTTAAAGTGGGGTAGATTGCACTGACTAGTAGAATAGATCCCCACTGCGCTGAATGAATAGAAATGGCATTTCTGTTAATTACCTTTATTCTAGCTGAAACAAGACACAACATGGTAAGCTAAGCATAGCTGGGTAAGTGATACACCGCTGCAATTCCAGAACTAGGCAGGTGGAGACCAGACGATGAGTTCAAGGCAGTCTGGCCCATGGGAGACTCTTGTCAACCAAAACAAAAACCAAATCCCATAAATGGTTCAATCTTGCATAGTAATGCTTTTGTTGAATGATTGTTTACTATATTATGCTTTTGTGTGTTTGTAATAGGTAGTGTCTGATTTATAGGACACTGAACTGAGGTACTGGGAAGTTATGACTTGGCCAGGACTAGAGACAGCTATTTTTAAAGTTTTTTTTTTCCTTTTTTAAGACAAAATCTCACTCTGATCACCCTGCTTTCTCAATGTTTCTCAAGTACTGGGATTATAGGAATGCACCACCACACCACTAAACAGAAGTCAGAAATGTTCTATTAATTATGGGGAAAATAAGGTGCATGGATAGGTGGGGTGAAATCAGAAGAGGGTGATGTCACTTTGTGTTGAACTGACAGGAAACCGTAACCCTGTTTGGATCACCGGTGTTTTTTTCTTTAGTCTGTAAATATGTAGTGTTTTCTAGATTCGAGACATACCCACAAACAAAGCTTTTGACTCCATGGCATTCTCTACTAATTGCCCCCATTTTCTTGTCCCTTTACATTAATGTGCTTCAGAGAATTTCTGGCATTGATCCATGAACTCATTTCCTGTTTCTGTTGTCCTTTCAACTCATTCCAATTAAGTAGCAGTCCATACTACATGCAATTTCTCTTCCTGGGAGACAGTTTTTGTGTAATTCATAGTTCTCCCCATTTGAACAGCTAACTACTTCATGGGCACATTCTCCCAACCTTCTCAGGTTTTGTACTAGAATTTACTTCTTTCTCCTTTGCTTAATTTTTCCTTCTGGCTCTAACTCCAAATGTTTCATGTTTTTTTTTTTTTTCTTTTTTTTTCTGAGTGTCTTCATTGTACTTTTCTGATGCCCTCATTTAATTCCATAGCTTTAATTTTCTCTGCTGATGTCCCCTGGATATGTCTTCTCCGTTTAGTTGCTATATCAGACATTCTGTCCTGATGCAGGGGGAGTCTTAAGTTTAACCAAACGGGAACTTGTGAACCTTTGCACTGCTTTCAACTGCCGTGTCTTTTCAGTTTTTCCTGTATAAGGTGCTTTTTTTTTTTTATTGTAGTGATCTATATTACATCCTCATTTTAAGTTTTGGCTTTGTGCATGTCAGCTTTATGAAAATCTTTAAAAAATGGAGAAATTAAAACATCAGACCTCTGATTTAGAAATCATTTAGTACCTTTGTACTGTTGTAGCTCTTTTTCCCATTTCTTTGAGAGCGCCTCATAGCTCATCTTGGCTTTGAATTTCCTGTGAAGCCAAGACTGACATTGAACTGATCTTGTCCTCATCTCCTAAGTCAGTATTACAGGTGTGTTACCATGTGTGGCTTCAGTATTAGCTTCAATGAAACAGATTGCCTTGTCCTAAATGATAGATACTATGTTAGAAGACGTAGTTCAGTTTTAGTCAGGTAGAAAGTGAGTAGGTTTTAAATTTGGAATCTTCCTGCTTCAACCTTTCAAGTAACTGGGCTCACAGGCCTACATGACCAGATTTGGCTTGGTTCTGTAGCTGTAATGAACTAGAAAGGAGCCTATTTTAATGTCAGGGTTTGAATGCATAGTTTTAGGAGATAGAAGAAAATTAACCATTACTGCAGACACATTATGCATGCAGTATTATGTGAGGTCTCCAGTTGGCAGACCCCAGTTAGACATAGCGTAGTTTTTATTTTTGTTTTTCAAGACAGGGTTTCACTGTGACTTTGGATGCTGTCCTACAACTAGTTCTTGTAGACCAGGCTGATCTCAAACTCAGTGATTTGCCTGCCTCTGCCTCTACTGCCCAGCGACACAGCCTAATTTAACATCACTGTATCTCAGAATTTTCCTCATTCAATATCCTGAGGCTTATGGCACTGTGGAATGTAGCCTGAAATAATGTAGGAAATATTTTGCATTCTTTTATTTTTTTTGAGACAGGGTTTCTCTGTATTGTTTTGGAGGGTGTCCTGGAACTTTCTTTGTAGGCCAGGCTGGCCTCGAACTCACAGAGATCTGCCTGCCTCTGCCTCCCGAGTGCTGGGATTAAAGGCGTGAGACACCACCGCCTGGCTCTGGGTGGTCTTGAAGTCACAGCTTTCTTTCAGTATCCTGAATGATGAGCGAGCATATAGACATGCACCACTGTAGCTGATTTGGAGACATTTCTTGAATAACCCCATAACATTTATCACCTTAATAGCATTAACCATTCTATTATTTTAGATTTTTCTAGTTTTCTTACTTAATCATGTCATGATTTCTAGTCCCCACCCAACCAACAACAACAAAGTTTTATATTTTAGTTTAGAATACAATTCAGGATACTCCTATTTTCATCATTTAGTTTCTTCTCATTTAGGAAACTTCCTTTTCATGATTTTGGCAGATTTAAAGACTATTGACTATTTATTATTGACCATTTATTAGTAAAACGTTTGTCAGTTTTTTAGTGGTTTTGAGATTGAACATAGAGCCTCACATATGGCAGGTAAGCTTCCTATCATTGATTGAGCTATATTCTCAGCTCAAAATTAACAAACAATCTTTTTGGTCACTGTATTTTTCTGAGCTTATCCCATGAGGAAATTTTGCTTAAGCAGAAGCCTCCGGCGGTGGCCTAAGTCTGTATGATGCTTAGATCTGTCTTCCCATTAAGCCTCTCTTTCTTTCAGAAACACCTAAGTCTTGTTCAAAGTCTTCTAGAAGTTCTACTCCAGTTCCTCCAAAGCAGTCAGCCCGGTGGCAAGTGGCAAAAGAGCTCTACCAGACAGAGAGTAATTACGTCAATATACTGGCGACAATTATTCAAGTGAGTACGAGTTAGATTCTAACTAACTTTCTAAAAGACTGTCTCCCTCTTGTTTCCCTTCTGGGATTTTGGGTTTATTCTTTGGGTTTTCTTTTGAGTGGTATTGGTAAGTATGGGGTTGAAAAATCTTGCTGTGGAATTCTGGCTGGACTGGTCCGTAACAGGCTGACCTCATACTTGTAGAGATCTCACTTTGTCTGTCTCCTGAGTACTCAGATAGCAGATGTGTGTACTACCCAGGCAGATGATGACTTAAAAGACCAAACCAAGTAGCATCAACCTTTTTGAAACTTAATTCTTAACTCCAGCATTGACTAGTCTTACCAGTTAGAAGCTGCTCTGCAGTTGGTCTTCTAGAAGTGCCTTTGCTACAATGCTGTAGTTTTCGTGTAACCTGGTAGCTTTGGCAGTGCCAAAATTAATTACAACCAGGCTGTTGTACCTGAAAACCCTTAAAATGTTCCAGTTTTCTTTTTTTCCCTTTAGGTTGACAATGACTGACTACATTTGGGTTCTTACAGCTTCACGTTGTTAAGATACTGCCTTCAATTTAGAATCCATAGAATTTTCTGAAATTTGTGTCATAGAGAAATGCTCTGTTTAGTATTGTATATATGTGAAAAATACTGTCTAAATAATAGCTGAGAAGCTGAATAGTACTGATGCCAGTAATTTTTCTCAGTCCTTTCATATAATCCATCAAATGGGAAGTAGTTACTTATAATAAATATCTAACTCTTTGCTTACTTATATTTAAATGTTTTTTGAGCTGGTCATAATAGTGCACACTTGGAATGTCAATAATGGCAGTGCTCTGGAGGTAGAGGCATAGAGGTCAAAATCAAGAGACTGTAGTGAAACCCTGTCTCAGAAACCAGGCACAAGCACCAGAACAAAACAGGCTTCCACATTCACATGCACACGCATGTACCACACAATGCAGATGTGCATACACATTCATGAAAATGGGAAAAAAAAGAAGTACACGAAGATTAAAAATTGTCATCATTGCAGGGACGGGGCAGTGCCTCTGGGGTAGAGGGCATGTACAACATACATGAGGCATAGAGTTCCGTCTTCACACCATTAACCCAGCCAACCCAAAGCTTCTGAGTTATATAACAGTCAGTGTATACGTTCCAAAACAGTCTTCTTTAATGCCTGTTTTTGTAAGTGGTAAAATCTATCTGCTCAAAAACGAATAAAAATAATTAAAGAAAACCACAGCTGGGTACAGTAGTACTTACTGAAACCCCAATACTTGGACAGCTGAGGTAGAGAGAGACAAATTCTAGGCTAGCATGGACTGCATAGCAAAAGCCTGTCCTTTTCAAAAGAGAGAAGCAAATTCTAGGTGTTTGTTTAATCTGGGTAGATAAATTAAAATTAAGTAATTTTGAAATTGGTTCCAATAAAGAAGCATGAGCCCCCAAACCTATCTTAAGAGAACGGGTCTGGGGTTAGCTCACTGGGATAGCTGTGGTCTAACACACACAAGCCTTTATGCAATCCTCAACACTAGCACAGCCTGTAGAGGAAAGGAAAAGAAGACACTGTCAGGGATGCAAGTCTCAGTCCTCTCCATGCTAAGCAAAGTGGCATTTAATGTGCCTCCAACGTAATAATTTCACATGTGTATTTAAAAAGAGTTTTACTTAGCTGGGCATCATGACCCCTGGAGGCTAACGTTGGATGATTGCTGTGAGTGCAAGTGTGCAAATATGTATGTCAGAAGACAGCTTTCAAGAGTTCGCTGTCTCCATCCAGCATGTATGTGGATTCTGTAGCTTGGGGCTGTCAGACTTGGCGGCAAGCATCTTCACCTGCTCAGCTGTCTGCTAGCCCTCCTCACTTTTATTCACCCCTTCTATCTTTTGTGCTATTGTATATGAAGCTAAGAACTGGACAATCTGCATTTATTATTATTTTTACTGTTTTTTTTTGGGGGGGCGGCTGGAGTTTCCTAGATAGGGTTTTCTCTGTGGCTCTGGAGGCTGTCCTGAAACTAGCCCTTGTAGACCAGGATGGTCTCGAACTCACAGAGATCCACCTGCCTCTGCTTCCTGAGTGCTGGGATTAAAGGTGTGTAGTACCACCGCCAGGTTCTATTTTCTTGTTCTTGGAGGGTATAGAACTCTGTGACTTTAACATGTCGAGATATGTGTGACTGCAGCAGGGAATCAGAACTGTTCTGTTTTCAAACATCTTCCTGCTGCTTGTCTTTTGTGAGATATCACATATATGCAGTCACAGTGTGCACCCAAGGCCTGGCTTCCTTCAGAATCATATAACCAGACTGTGTCTATCGCTTCCCTGCCTGCCTTGTGTGTCCCTCCTCTCCTTTTCCCCCATTTCTGAAACATTTGCTGTCTCGACCCCCTGAGCTCCAACATCTGATTCTTTGACTTCTTCCTTCCCTTGTTAAAACACCTATAGTTAATGAATGTCAGTATTTATTTTATTTTATTTTATTTTATTTTTTTTTCTTTTTGGTTTTACGAGACAGGGTTTCTCTGTTGGAGGCTGTCGGTCCAGCCTGGCCTCGAACTCAGAGATCCGCCTGCCTCTGACTCCCGAGAGATGGGATTAAAGGCGTGCTCCACCAACGCCCGGCTGAATGTCAGTATTTTTACTTTTGTCATTCCTTCCTGAGTTTTGAGAGTTCTTTGCATGTAATTTTGTATATTAGTCCTTTGTTAAGTGTGTGATTTTTAATTTTTTATTAGTGTTTTGAGAGTTCTTTGCATGTAATTTTGTATATTAGTCCTTTGTTAAGTGTGTGATATTCAATTTTTTATTAGTGTATAAGCAAATTGCTACATATCTTAGGAAAATTTTTATTAAATACCTGTTTCTTTTTATTCTAGTTGGTCTTTAAATTTTACCTAAAACTAACTCATGAGTAATTTCTTCCACAAATTTCATGAATTTAGGTTTTATTTTTAGGCCTATGATCTATTTTGAATTATTTATGGCCATAGCAAATGGTAGTCTAATATCATTTGTTGGAAGACCATTCTTTGAATGGCTAATAATTACTTAGCTCTGTTTTTTTTCTTTTTGCCTCTTTGGTTTTGTCAGACAGGGTCTCATATAACCCATGCTGGCCTCAAACTTGGTGTGTGGTGGAGGATGACCTTGACCTCCAGCTCTTCCTGCTTCCATTTCCTGTATGTTGGGATTGCTAGTGTGTGCCACCACAACACCTGGCTTTATATTTGCATTAGTTTTCATTTCTTGAATTTCAATTCTACTGTAACACACACCATCTTAAATATTGTTGTTTTTTTGTATGAAATAATCTTGTATATCTACATATATTTTTAGAATCAGATTTCCTTTATCTATCAAAAGTCCTAGAATTTTGATTGGTACTGTCTTGAAAAATACCTACATGAGTTCTGGCTATGTTGAGTTTGAGTTTGTGACTGTGTGACTTTGGTTTTACTTTTAACCATAGCTCTGGTTTTTGAGCATGTGTGTGTGTATCTTAAACACAAGTATTTACGTTGTTTTGTATTAGATGGCACTGATTTTTACATTCTTTAATTTTCTTTAACTTTTGAGACAGAGTCTCACTATACTCAGCCCTGGCTGCCCTCAGGTTTGGTATGCTGACCTGGCTGGCAGCCCTGGAACTAGGTATATAGACCAGGCTGGCTTTGATGTCACAGAATCCTCCTACCTCTGCTTCCCAAATGCTGGGACTAAAGTTGTGTGCTGCCATGCTCATTTTTTTTTTTTTTTTGTTGTTGTTGTTAGATTTATTTTTGGGTCATCTAAATAAGATGTGCATGCCTATTGTGTTTGTGTTTGTATTAGTTACTTGAGTTCTGTTCCATTCATTCATTCATTCATTCACTCACTCACAATTGGTAGAGCAGGACCAGTGAGATGGCTCAATGAGTACAAAATGTTCTTGCCTTGATTCCAGCATTTCATGGTAGAAGGGGAAATTGACTTCTACAAGTTTTTTCTCTGATATCTTCTGTGCACTGATTGCACCCATGTTTTTTCTTTTTCTTTTTTTTTTTTTTTGGGTTTTTCGAGACAGGGTTTCTCTGGCTTTGGAGGTTGTCCTGGAACTAGCTCTTGTAGACCAGGCTGGCCTCGAACTCACAGAGATCCGCCTGCCTCTGCCTCCCAAGTGCTGGGATTAAAGGCGTGCGCCACCAACGCCCGGCCGCACCCATGTTTTTTCTGTCTCCTCCCTACCTTCAGTCTCTCCCTCTCCCCCTTCTCTCGTTCACACATAGACAAATATACTACTACTACTAATAATATAAAAGAGCTACAGCAATAAGTGGGCAGAGTTCAGGGTTTCTCACATGAGATTTAAAATCTAGTTTCTTTGCTACTGAATTCCTACTGTTGTGTGTCTAGAAAGTTTATTGGTTTCTTCCTTATAAATTAAAGAAGTAGGAATTACTCTTCTAGTAATTGTAATAATTTGTTAGGTTTCTTTTGTAAAAAGACAAACAGGATTTATTTTATGTGTATGGGTGTTTTGCCACTGTGCCAGTGGAAACGAGTATATTGGATTCCCTGGGGTCGGAGTTCCAGAAGGTTGTAAAGTACCATATGGTAGCGGGGAACTGAACCTGGGTCCCCTGGAAGAGCAGCCAGTGCACTTAACACCCCCATGTGCATGCCTGTACAGGGTATATCAATATATGAAGGAAAAATAAAATGTTATAAGAAAAGATTCTTTAGGAGAGGTTTTCCCTCGACTTTTTCTGATGTTGACATCACTGTTTGTCACACTTTTTAGTTTAGCTTTCTTTTACTCACAGTTTGCCTAAGCTAGATCCCCTGATTTAGTTATTTCAGGTACCATTAGAAGAAGAAGGGCAACGTGGCGGACCTATTCTTGCACCAGAGGAGATCAAGACTATTTTTGGGAGTATCCCAGATATCTTTGATGTACATATGAAGATAAAGGTAAATGTGCACTAAAGGTTGACATTCTTTCCGGGGGGGGGGGTGGTACTTCATTTTGGTAATTTCTACCTAGCTAAGTAAGCTTTGTGTGTGAAATGTATTTCTCACCATGTAGATGGCTTAGAGCTAGCTCATAGGGATGCTCCTTGCTCAGGTGGGGATTGCAGGGTTAGGACATTGCTCTTGGCTTATATTTTGTAAAGCTCTTCAATAAAGACTTTTACGACTTATGTTATTGTATGTTGTCAAATATTTTGCCTACAATGTTTGTATGCACACCACACATATGCTTGGTACTCACAGAGGTCAGAAGTTGGCATTGGATCCCCTGGAGTCTGGAGTTACAGATGTGGGTGCTGCAGATTGAATCTGGGTTCTCTGAAAAATTGAAAAGTGATGTAGACTCCTGGGCCATTTCCCCATTCAAATGTTTTGAACATTGTATGTTTTAGGATGACTGAGGAATTTTATGCATCAGGGATTAGCAAACTATGGTTCATAGGCTTTGTCTAGCCCTCTGTGTTGGTAAAGAGTCTTGAAGTAGATCCCATTCATTTTCATATTTTTTTAATACAATATATTTTGGTCATATTTTTCCCCTTTCCCACCTCTTAAGTATTTCCCATCTCCCTACCCAGCTAGCTTCCTGTTCCTTATCTCAGAAATAGGAAAAAAAAAAACAAAGCAAACAAACAAAAAGCCCGAAGGACAAAAAATAAATCAAAACACAAAAAGAAGCTGTCAACAAAAAGAAAAAGAAAACATTGAGTCTGTTTGGTGTTGAGCATCTGTTTCAGGTCATGAGACCTGTCTTGATTTGTGGTTGATATACCCAGTGACAGTCATTACAGAAAACTAATTTTCCATTTCCCAGAAGGTATCAGTTCCAAATAACTTGCTGGTTAGGGGTAGGACTTGAGTCTGTACACCGTCTCAGTGCTGGGACTTTGTCTGGCTTGAATATGTGCTGGTATTGTATATACTGCTGCAGTGTCTGAGTTCATTTGTGTTCCTTTCTGTTGTGTCTAGAAGACACTATGGAGTCACTCACTCCTCTGGCTCCTGCAGGGTTTCTGCCTCCTCTCTGCCTCTTCTGTGTAGATCGCTGAGGCCTGAGGGGAGAGTTTTGATGAAAGCATCTAGGACACCCTGTTCCAGGCGCTCCACTCCCGTTTGCATACTTGCTGTGCTTGCCTCCATTCTGCAGAATCGAGGACTTGTAACAGGAGCCATATGGCCTTGGAACATTTACCACCTGTCACTTTTAGTACAGTTTGCTTGACCGTGTTACAGGTTATCATTTTTTAATGACTTGTGTTAAATTAGTTGCTATAGCAGCAGGATTAAAAGTAGTAGCTTTTTCATGATTGTTAAGGCCAATCAGCTTTATAGTTAGTAAGACAAAGCATTAAGCTGTTAATCATATTGGAGAATTAGTATTGGTCTGCCTGACAGTGCTATTTATATTGTCTTAATTCATCCAAAGGTCATTTTCTTTGTAAACAAAATTTAACTCTTTGTTGAGAAAAGGAGTTTACATATAACATTAACTTACTTCATAAAGTGATTTTATTTTTTAACCTGCAAAAGATCTCATAAACGTTACAGGCGGGATATGTAAGGAGCTGCTGAGATTAAATGTTTATATTTGTTCTATTTCAGGATGATCTTGAAGACCTTATTGTTAATTGGGATGAGAGTAAAAGCATTGGTGACATCTTTCTTAAATATGTAAGTGTTTGTTTTACAGTTTCATGCACTTTAAAGGTTTCATACTTAAGGACTGACAGGGAAGGGAATTTGAAAGTGCCATTTAACGATTTCATGTGGTTGTTATAGAATATTCTAGAATTGTTCTTGACATTTGAAACATGTTTTCTATATGTTCAGCTTAATAAAAAAATCATCATTAGAATACTAGTTATCTCACAGTTGTATAGTAACACTTATGTAAAATTATTTGCTATCCCCAAATGATTATATATTCATGATTTTTTTTTTGCATGTGCTGGGCAGTGGTGGCATACACCTTTAAACCCAGCACCTGGGAGGCAGAGGCAGGCGAATATCTTGAGTTTGAGGCCAGCCTGGTCTACAGAGCCGGTTCCAGTACTACTGGGGATACATAGTGAGACCCTGTCTCAAAAAGCAAAAACAAATAATAATAATAAAAATGCACGCACGCTCACGCGCACACACAGGCACACTGTTTATCTCTGGCCTTCACATCTGCTTCTGTTGAATTTGCTTCCTCAATTAGGATTAAAATCACAAAGAACCACATATCTGAGGGTGGCGCTCAGGCTAAGGGGACTTGCTGAGTGATCATCACACATTGTAGAAGGGAAGAAAGAAACAAACCACTGAAGACTAGGGTTTGGGTAGGTCAGTGTGAAGAGTTTACCTACAGATGGGAGGATGAGAGAGAGAGTTAAGGGAAGAAGATTGAGTCAGAGACCCACCTGGACTACATAAAGAGATTCTGTTCAAACAAACACAAAAAACCATGTAGCTTGAATTTAGGAAATAATCCATTTTGGAATATGTTTTTCCGAGTTGTTTGATGGGTCTAAACATGGAAATCATAAATGTATTTACTTGATGACTATCAACATGCTTCATTAGCCAAGACACGTACTTCCTTTTACAGATTTTAGGGTTTAGGTTTAATGGTATTTCTAATTGTGCGTATGTGCACATGAGTGCAGGCAGGTTTTCACAGAGGCCAAAATGTGTATTAGTAATATTCCCTGGGATTGGAGTTAGGGTGCTGTGAGTACTCAGTGTTTCATGAGAGTACTGGGTACTGGACTTGGGCCTGCTGCAAGAGCAATAAACTCTTGAACAGCTGTGCCATCTTTTCAGACCAGTGCTTTTTCTTTTTTTGAATTGCATGTCTTGGGATTGTTATTTTAATAGTGTTTGGATTCTTCAACAAACAATAACATGGATTGTTAGGTTCCCATAGATAGGTCAGCTTTAACTTAATTTAAAATATTCTGAAAAAAGAAAGGTTTTGAATGCCTAGTTTGTAGGTATGTTTCACCATGCCTAGTTTAAATGTTGCTGGGGCTCAAACCGTAGGTTTTATTTATACTAGGCAAGTGCTCTATTGAGATATATTCCCAGTCTGATATTCAAATATTTGTCATGTTCTAAAGTGTGTGTCGTTTGTGTGTGTCTTTAATTGTTTTAAGGGTGCCATTCATAACAAATTGTTTTTACTTTTTTGTATTTTTAGTCAAAAGATTTGGTAAAAACCTACCCTCCCTTTGTAAACTTCTTTGAAATGAGCAAGGAAACAATTATTAAATGTGAAAAACAGAAGCCCAGATTTCATGCTTTTCTCAAGGTAAATTTCTTTTATACAAAATCTGATAATTCCTTATGAAAGAATTCATTAAAATAATTTTTAGAAGAGCAATTTATGTTAGTGAAATTCTACTTCTGTAACAACAACTTAATACTGGTCTTGATTTCAGTTGAGCCTGTGGATGGCCATGATTTTAGACTTATAAGATTTGGTGTTTTACACAGCAAGGGCCGAGAGGCAGTTGAGTGAGTGGGGATGTTGTATGATTTCTTTTGGCTTTTTTATAACAATAGGGATTGAACCCAGGGCCTTGCATATGGTGGTTCATGTGCTTATTTTAAAAGGAAATAATGTTATCTGTGATTAATTCTTGAAACACCTGTGGGCAATGATACTGCTTGCCTTTACTTTTTTCTTCTCCCATTGGCACTTTAACAGTGGTGTCAGTGCAATTGATGGGCTAAAACTTTTTCAGGAATGGTATATGTGGTCATTATAAAAACCTAAGAACGCCTGTAGGTATACACGTGTGTAGAGGAATACACTCTCTTTATAACGTGTTATCCTTTACTGACCAAGGCAGAATTTTAGCCCTTGGAAAATTATTGAATCGTGGTGATCTGCCAAAGAGTAGCTGCCATCCTACATTTTCCCCTCGAATTCTTAATCCATTTATTGATTTATTTTGTGCTCGAATCTATGTGCACGCCTGCATGTGCATGTGCATGTGCATGTGCAAGTCAGAAGTTCTTGGCCTTCGACCCTGTAGATTCTGGGGCTTGAAATTGGGTGTCTGATGTGGCAGGCAGCAAGTGCCTTTACCTTCAGAGTTTGTTGCCTCTTCTGTGTTATTTCTTGACAAGGATATTTGTGATAGAATGTTTGAAGTTTTGCACAAAACAAACTATTTTTGTGTGTAATTCCTTGCTTCTTTTTAGATAAATCAAGCTAAGCCAGAGTGTGGACGGCAGAGCCTTGTGGAACTTCTCATTCGGCCAGTGCAGAGGCTACCCAGCGTTGCTTTACTTCTAAATGGTATTTGGTTTACTGTGCTTTTGTTTGCTTGATTTTTTTTAAATTTCAGATATTTTTATGCAATAGTGTCCTCTCCTCTTCCTCCTTCCTTCCCTCCTTTCCTGTAGGATGACCTTGGACATCTGCCTCTCCAATCTTCTGAATGCATTGATTAGTATCTGGTTTATATACTGTTGGAGTTTTAACCCACATCTTCATTGTACATGTTCCATCCTCAGTCTGAAATGCTTTTTTCTCGAAGAGTCTGTATTTTTTCATTTCAGAGTTTATTAGGTCTTAGCATTAAAGGTTGTTTTTTATATGAAATTATGGTAATTTTGAAACCAGTCTCTAAAACTTTAATACTCAGTTTTACCTGATAGTCTTTGTTGTAACAGTGATTTCTTTCTGCTTAAAAGTTCCTTATATTTTGTGGTGTCATGGTTTCTAAATCTGTTTATTCAAGTAACAGCATTCCCTCCCAGAAACATCACAGGAGGAGGACTCATATCCCAAGTTCCTAGTCCTCTTAAGTTTTTTTATATTTGATTTTATATTTACTCTTTTAAAAACATCTTTGATTGGAGCTGGGGAAGTACTTCAGTTGGCAGAGTGCTGGCCGAGTATGTACAGTCCCTAAGTTTGATTCCCAGCTCCTTGAGAAACCAGCCCTGTGCTGCACTCCCAATCACAGCACGGGGGAGATGGAAACTGAGGTCAGAAGTACACATGCCCGTCATAGAACGTTTGAGATCAGGCTGGGATACAGCAGACCCTATCTCAAATGATTCGATCTCAGATTGGTTAGTCTACTTTGAGTCCTACATCTGTTTATTTTAGTACTTAAAACTGCAAGCATCGCCGGGCATTGGTGGCGCACGCCTTTAATCCTAGCACTCGGGAGGCAGAGGCAGGTGGATCTCTGTGAGTTCCAGGCCAGCCTGGTCTACAGAGCAAGTTCCAGGGTAGCCCCAAAACAATATAAACCCTGTCTCAAAAATTAAAAAAAAAAACTGCAAGCATCAATAGGATTTTCTAGCACAGCTTCTATGATTAAATTTTACTTCTGGTTAAAAAGTGTATGTTTCTGCATTGGTGCTCAGTTGACTAAAACAGTATGTTTTAGGATAGTCAGTTATGAAACTCAGGAGTTTAATTTATTGATTATTTAATCTATTTTTTGTTTGTTTATTTACGAGACAGGGTTTCTCTGTGTAGTTTTGGAGGCTGTCAGTCCAGCCTGGCCTCGAACTCACAGAGATCTGCCTGCCTCTGCCTCCCGAGTGCTGGGTGCGCCACCACCGCCCGGCTGTTTGTTTGTTTTTAGAAACAGGGTTTCTATGTAGCATTGGAGCCTGTCCCGGAACTCACTCTGTAGACCAGGTTGGCCTCAAACTCACAGAGATCGGCCTGCCTCTGCCTCCAGAGTGCTGGTATTAAAGGCGTGCACCACCATGTTCCAGCCGCTAATCTATTTTTTTAAATGACAGTGCTAACAAAAAAGAGAAAATTTTTTTCTCTTCCAGATTACCTCTGGAGTTGAAATTACTGCTGTATGAATAGTTTCCCTGGTCTCTAGCCCTATCCTATTGTGTCGATTATGTTGAATGTTTTAACTATCCAACCTTTAGGTTTTCTAAACTGATTTTTTTAATTTATATTTATTTATTAGCGCAGGCCAGCCTTAACTCAAGGCATCCTCCAGTCAGCCTGCTGAGTGCTGGGATTATAGGTGGGAGCCAGTGGCTGGCTCTTAGGAAGATTTTCTGTTAAATAGACGTTTATCAGATGCTTTTTGAATTAAAATGAATGTCTAAGTTTTCGGGTTATTCCACATATTACGCCACAATATGTTGACATGGTGTTAGCTTGGGTACGATTGTCAAGTGTAGCATAGGGAACATAGTAAAAAAAACTAAGAAGAGTCAGGTGTAGTGATGCCTTCTTTACTCCCAGCACTTGGGAGGCAAGTAGTTTGAGTTTGAGACCAGCCTGGTGTACTTAGAGTGACCCTGTATAAAATTAACAAAAAAACCTGGAGAAGCAGAGTTAGCATGTTGAATACAATAGCACAAAGATCTTAAGGTCATCAAATGCTCTCTGTGATGGGGCTTGGTGTCCCCATGTGAAGTTTAAAAGAAATGTGGTGTATGAGGTAACAGGATGATCGTTGAGCACTGTAGAGAAAGCCTGTGGAATCTAGGAGTCTCCAAGTGTGATTGGAAGACAAAGCAATGTTTAAAAAAAAAAAAAGAATCAGTGCTACCTATTCTGAACATTTAAATTAGTAAAATAGCCTGGACACGTGTATTCATGGAAGAAGACAGTGTTTTAGAGAATTTTAGTTAAAACTGTTGATTGTTTTTTAAAAAGATGTTCTTAATTATGTACCTTGTGTGTAGTTGTTGTACACATGGGAGTTTGTGTGCCCACAGAGGCCAGAAGGAGGGCTTCAGATCCTATGTAGCAGTAGGAGTGAACGGCCCAATCTGGGTGCTGGGCACTGAACTCAGGCCGTCTTCAAAAGCAGTGTGTGCTCATACCCACTGAGCCACTGCTGCGGCCCTCATTGTTTTATTAAATAGCCCTGGCTATTCTGGAACTCACAATGAATTTTCACTTAGAAGTTAATTTAATTAATTTATTTAAATTATATCTTGAACACAATTTATGCTGAGTAGTAATCTTACTGAGTAGTTGGTGGTTTGTTAGATATTAATATAAATGTGGCACCTCTAATTAGGTGTATTAGTAGGTGGCCTGCAGTAATACTTTTCCATCTCTGCCTCTCAAGTATAGGGTTTCTAGGCATGTGCCATCGTGCTAAGGAGTGAACCCAGGACCCTACACAATTAAACCTGTGTTCCACCTCTGAACTGTATATCTAGCTGTTGGTTGTTTTGAGACAGGCATTACTGTGTAGTCAAGTTTTGTTCCAAACTTGTAATCCTTCCATCTCCAACTCCTAAGGTAATATAGGTATTATAGCTCTGCTCTGCCATTACTGGCCAAAAGCTTCTCTTCAATATAAAGGCTAGATTTTACCTTTAAAAAATAGTTAACCTCTATCAAGATTAATGTATTTTTTGTTTGTTTGTTTTTCCAGACGGGGTTTCTCTGTATAGCTTTGTAGCCCAGGCTGGCCTCGAACTCAAAGAGATCCACCTGCCTCTGCCTCCTAAGTGCTGTGATAGATTGATATATTTTTAAGGTGTAGGTGGAAAACCACTCTACTCATTTTAGTCATGGAAAGCATACGTTATTATTACAGATCTTAAGAAGCATACAGCCGATGAAAATCCTGACAAAAGCACTTTAGAAAAAGCTATTGGATCACTCAAAGAAGTAATGACGTAAGGAATTTATATTTACTTTAAAATAGTATGTGTGTGTGAGAGAGAGGGAAAGAGAGAGAGGGAGGGAGAGTGAGAGAGAGGGAGGGAGAGAGGAGAGAGGTGGCGGTCAAAGCTGGTTTACATCTTCCACTTTTACATGGGCCCTGGGGATTGAGCTCAAGGTTTCCAGGCTTGTATGTTGTAAGTGCTTTTAGATCCATCATGCTGGACTGCTCCTATGTTTTTAAAATAGAAGAGTATCAAGAACAAACTTTTATGAAATACCTAATTATTTCTCAAGTAGTATGGTTATAGTTAAAATGATAAGCATCGTAAGAGTATATTGATCAGTTTATTTCTGACATTAATTGTATGTACACAGACCATAATGGGATAGAAATTCAAAAATAGCCATTCATGCACAAATAGACCTTTTCTTCTTGTGCCCTAGAGAAAGACTTTTTTGTGTCATTTGCATGCTTATGGTCTTGTTCATGGGGATTTTCTTATTTCAATTAAATTCTGATTTACAAAGATCTGTTTCTGTAAACCTGCATTCATAGGTCCTTTCACCCGCATGAATTTTCTTTTTCCTATTACTGCTTTGTGTGTTTCTTTACTTGAATGAATTTTGTCATTTAACGGAAAGTGTACTTCAAACTTGAGAGTTTTGTTATCATCAAATATTATGTGGGCTAACTAACTGTATCTTAGGAAGTGTTTGTTGACTAAATGAGTAAAATAGTCAAAGTGAAGCAACATTTCTAGAAGATCTATGGATTATTTTTAATTTTTCTTTTTAAAGATTTATTTATTACATATACAGTGTTCTGCCAGAAGAGGGCACCAGATTGAATTGTAGATGGTTGTGAGCCACCATGTGTTTGCTGGGAATTGAACTCAGGACCTCTGGAAGCGCATTCAGGGCTCTTACAACCTCTGAGCCACCTCTCCAGCCCTAATCTTTATTTTTTATGTGCATTGGCGCTTTGGCCATGGGTGCTGGACCCATGGAACTGGTATTACAGACAGTTGTGAGCTGCCATGTGGGTGCTGGGAATTGAACCTGGGTCCTCTGGAAGAACAGTCAGTTCTGAGCCATCTCTCCAGCCCCTGGATTATTTTTTAATATCAGGATGTTTTGAAGAAATGTTTATCAGATTCATGTATCAAAATTAAGGACCACATGAAAGTCAAGAGTTGTGACCTGAGATATTTGTGTGCTGATTTCATCTCTGTATTAAAAGAAGTTTTGCAAAATAAACATTATTTTTCAGACATATCAATGAGGATAAGAGAAAAACAGAAGCACAGAAGCAGATTTTTGATGTTGTCTATGAAGTAGATGGATGTCCAGTAAGTACTTTTTATAATGATTGCCATCTAATTTACTGCTTTAATTTGCTTTCTATAGTTTCATTATAAATGGTCTCAGGCTGAGAGATGTTTCAGGGGTGGAGAGCACTTGCTGTTCTTAGAAAGGAAGGATCTGAGTTCAGTTCTAAATACCGTATCAGGTGACTCACAACCTATAATCCAGCTACAGTGGATTTAATGCCCTCTTCTGGGTTCTGGGGGTTCCTTTACACATATGGCATATACGCAAAGAGACACGTACACATAAATAAGAATAGAAACGGATCTTTAAAGATATATTAATAATCTTAGCACCACCTTTGAATGATAACATGTAAAAAGTTACTTGATAACAGTTGATGACTTTTACCCATGTTCACAGGCTAACCTGTTGTCTTCTCATCGAAGCCTCGTACAAAGAGTGGAAACAGTTTCTCTAGGCGAGCACCCCTGTGACCGAGGAGAGCAGGTCACTCTCTTCCTCTTCAATGACTGCCTCGAGGTAAATTTGTACTCGGTGTAGTTTAACACTGCGGTATTTGTGAGTTCCCTAAATATTTAAAACTAAGCTTTGAGGGGGTACAATATAGAAATTTGAGGTATATTCAGTTGTTTTTCAGAGAATTAAGACTAGTTGCTGATTTCATACAGCGGAATGCTTTTGGGAGAAAGTCTAATATTAAGTTTGGTAAATTTCCAGACATTGAATCTCAAGTCAATATTTCTTACATGAGTTTTGGAGACCTTTTGTTTTTATGTATATTGATTTGAAATCTGCAAATTAATTGAGTTTTTTAAAAATTAAATGTAAGTAGCCCTTTGCAGCCAAGATGAAATTGGTTAAAGAGCTAGCTTGATAACCTAGTACTGTGAATCCTTGATTTCTTCTTTTTCTACTTTGGTAGCATCTAACTCTGTAGCCCAAGCTGGCCTAGAACTTTGGACAGTCCTTCCATTCCAGCATCTTGCGTGCTGGGATGACAGGCACGAGCCACCATGCCAAATTGGATTCTTTGAAATTAGAAGTTTTTATTGATGAGATGTAATAATTTTAATTCTAAAACTCTAACCTTTGGTCAATATTTTTCCCTTAGCACCCTCCAAGCAAATTATTGAGATTATCTACTTTTAAAGCTTCTTTCCCTTTATTTGAGGGGTGGGTTCAATACAGGGTTTCTCTGGAGACTGACCAGGCTGGCTTTGAACTCACAGAGATCCACCTGCCTCTGCCTCCCGAGTGCTGGGTTTTAAGGCGTGCGCCACCACCACCTGTTTTTTTTCCCTTCTTTTAACATGTATCTTACTTGTTTTAATGAAATATCATGATCAAAGCATCTGGGGAGGAAAGGATTTATTTGGCTCCTACTTGCATGGATAACTGTTCATTGTCAAAGAAGTCAGAACAGGAACTCAAACATCAAGCAGTGCAGGAACCTGAATGCAGGAGGTGATGCAGAGGCCATGGAGGGAACTGCTTACTGACTTGATTATCATGGCTTGCACAGCCCGCTTTCTTAATTGAACCCAGGGCCACCAGCCCACGGATGGCCACACCCACATTGAGAAAATGTCCTACATGCTTGCCTATGACCCAGTATTATGGATGCATTTTCTTAATTCGGATTCCTTTCTCTCAGATGGCTTTAGTTTGTGTCAAGGTGATATGAAACTGTCCAGCACAGGTAGAAAGGAATTCAGCTTCCTTTATTTCAAAAACCAAGAAGATTTTCATTCGGTTAAAAAAAGCACAAGAAAATTCATTTGACATGTTTGTAACTGGGTAACTCTCTGTTGCCCTCCTCAAAATGACTGCTAACTTTCCTTTTTCCATTCCTCTATTCCTTTCCTGTGTTGCTTGTCTTAAAAAGCTGCCCTCTTATTTCATGTATGTTATTTAAGGTATAAAACACAGGCCAGTCTAAGAGACCAAGGTATGCACAGAGCAGCCATAAGAGCAGTGAAGTCTCAGAGATCTTCCTCTGCTAAAGGGTCCTCTACCTAGAGGTTAGGAAGCGATACTTCTGTTTGACTAGTAGTATTACAAAAAGCACAAAGTTGTGATAATATGAGTCACAATCAACCATATCCTGGATTGAAGAAAGTCGAAAAAAGTTGTGCAGTGGGTGATCGGGAACTGCCTGAGTCTCCTGCAGTAAGAACCCAGCCTGCTCTGCTTTCAAGAACAAGGCCAGGAGTCACCTTTAATTTTGTATTACCAGTGTTTGCATTGCCAGGGGACTGCCCGTATATATATAGTTGGACTGTTTTTCATTTTGGTTGTTTCTGTTAAGATTTTTTAAGTTTTTTTTTTTTTTTTCTATTGAAATCTGTAGGTCTGCTGACCCTATTCTGTTAGGTTAAGCTATTTGGATTTCCTTGACAATTTGTTGTGGAGTTTATCTTTGTTTTTAGTACAACAGTGATTTATTTTGATTATTGTTTTTTAAATTTTATGTCCCCTTCATATTTTACCATAATCGGGTCACTTTCTTACGTTAATTCTTACTAAGAGCAGTCCCTGCTCTTTCAATTCACCCTCATGAGTTCAGAGACTTTTTGTCCTTCTCCACTGTTTGAGTCAGGGTTAATATTGCTGTGATGAAACACCATGAACAAAAGCAATTCAGAGGAAAGGGTTTATTTTGCTTACACTTAAACATCACTGTTCATCTTCGAAGCTGAGTCAGGGCAGGAACTCAAACTGGCCAGGTTCCTGGAGGCAGGAGCTGCTGCAGAGGCTGTGGAGCATGCTGCTTACTGACTTGCTCAGCCTGCTTTCTTACATCACCCAGGGCCACCAACTAGAGATGGCACCACCCACAATGGGCGGGGACCTTCCACATCATTCATAAATTAAGAAAATGCTCTACAGGCTTGCCTACAGCCAGATCTTAAGGAAGTATATTTATTCTGTTGAGGTTTCCTCCTCTCTGATGACTCTAGCTTGTTTCCAGTTGGCATAAAATTAGCCAGTACATCCCTTAGACTCTGTCTCATTGTTTGAATAGAAACTTGTGTTTCTTTTTGTTGTCTGTTTTACTTTGAGTCTAGTAAGCACTAGCCTTGTAATCCTTTTGCCTCTTCCTCTTGAGATCATTCGTTTCTGGTATGTATATTCATAGCCCAGCTGCTTTAGTTTTAAGGCAGGGCCTTCCTATGTCTCTCGGGCTAGTTTGAACTGCCTAAGCTTCTCAAGTGCTGGGTTACAGGCATGTGTCACTATGCCTGTTCAGCTGCCATATTTCCCATATTAAATTTGGACATCATGATTCAAACTACTAGGTAGACCGTTTTATTTATTTATTTTTTTGGTTTGGTTTTTGAGCCTTTGCCTCTAATGTGCTGGGATTAAAGGTGTACACAACCACTGCCTGGATAGAGCCTTATTCTTTAACTCACTTAAGAAAAAAAGAACTCAGCTGAACAGTGGTGGCACATGACTTTAATCTCAACTCTCAGGAGGCAGAGACAGGCAGTTCTCTGTGAGTTTGAGGCCAGCCTGGTCTACAGAGCTAATTCCAATACAACTAGGACAAAGAAACCCTGCTTTGAAAAACGAGAGAGAGAGGAGAGAGAGAGAGAGAGAGAGAGAGAGAGAGAGAGAGAGAATATGAAACAAAAGTTATTTTTAATATTCTGGTCGTATATAATATAAGTAACTAGCGACATCACTATACTTCTACATTAGGAACAGTTAAATGCCAGTAAAACCTATACTGTTTTTAATATGACAGATGACTAATGTTAAACTAAATCTACATTTGAATATTTTATCTTGTGTTTTGGGTTTTTTTTTAATCCTAGACTTATTATTGTTTGTGTCATCAATATCTTTTTATAATAGTATATTGTGTTTACCCAAATAAGAAACATATCCATTTGTTGCAGAGGAATTAGAGTATCTGCTGCATACTTTCAGTTTGCTTATGGAAGTGGCTGTTAATATTTGGCATAGTTATGTAATATGTAGAATAGAAATTTCCATATCTGCTTTAGTGGGGATATAATGCACTGAGTAGCTCATTTTATCCATTAGCCCAATACCACGTAATATATTTCTAACCATATTTGTCTTATTCATGATGACCAGTCTCAATTCAAGTAAATATTTACACTCATTTTATGTTAATGCCTTTCAGCAAAATCTGTTTTTCTGCAAAGGAGATTTTTTTAAAAGTATTTTCTTTTGGCAAAATCTCAATATATCACGAATCATAAGATCTTTCTGATTTTGCTCTTCTCCAGTTACCTATCTCTTCCTTTTGCATGGGTATCCAGTTAAGGTAAAGTTATAGCCTCATACAGCACTTTAACTTTCTACTTCTGTTGTGTGTGTGTGTGTTGTTGTTTACTTTATGAGACAGTCTCATTGTGTAGGTAGCCTCGACCTGAAGGTCTTCTGCATTAGCCTCCCTAGAGCTGGTATTTCAGGTTTTGAATGTATGTTTAATTTAGGCTTCCCTTTGTCAGTATTATATAAACAATCAAAGACTAGGAACTGTGTGATAATTCCTGCATTATTCTGTCACTAGAAGATATTTCAAATACTCCTCTTAAACTACAGTTAACTCATTTGAACCCAGGACAGTTGTCTCAGAGCAAGTATTACCCAGGTGAAGTTCCGGGCTTTTATTCTGGAGTTCTCTTGTTCTTGCAGTACTTCTAATCCTTCCATGCCTTTGGGACTTTTCACACCCACTATCCCTAGGCCTGGTTTTCTCTGATTGTGAACTTTCCTAATATGGACATGAGCATCTGGCTACATACACAATTATATGTGTGCTTTCTGTCACGGTCTCTCGCTTTTATCGCATAGTAACTGGAATGGCTAATCATCAGATTAGTTGCATATAGATTTATGTGATTAGTGCTGTTTTTAAATGTGTGAAATTTTGGTTTTATCACAATAATGATTACGACTTTCCCCTTGCAAATCAGATAGCAAGAAAACGGCATAAGGTTATCGGAACTTTTAGAAGTCCTCATGACCGCACCCGACCGCCGGCTTCTCTTAAGCATATTCATCTAATGCCTCTGTCTCAGATTAAGAAGGTGCTGGACATTAGAGAGACGGAAGGTAAGCTCATGGGGCAGGTACCCACCAGATAAGAATAGCTTGTCCTCACAGAGGCTTTACATTATCTTTACATGTGACTCACCTGTAATGTGTCTTAAAGTAATTGTTTTCATATCTGTGTTAACTCGCATCTCTGGGTACAGACTTGCTGTTTCAATCTGCAGATATCCTTTCTCTAAGACTCAAAGGACTTTTCAATGGTTGTACGTTACATTAACACCTTAGTTTGTCTTACTCCCACATCAAAACTCACTTGTCATTCTTCTGAATCCAAAGTAAACCACCATATATCTTAGTATCTTTTATTCTTGCCAATGGTACATTCAGACATATCTTTTCACATTAGGGGGTGTCTTTAAAATGCAGGCTGGGAGGTAGAGAGGCTAGTGAGGTGGTTCAGCAGGTGAAGGCACTTGCCCTGGAGTTCTGAGTTTGGTCCCAGGGACCCATGTGATGGAGACAACTGTCTTCTCGCAGTTGTCCTTTGACTCCCACATGTTCATGGGTAGCAATTTAGTGTTTGCTTGTTTATCTGTGAGTTCGAGGTCAGCCTGATCTACAGAGCGAGTTCCAGGACAGGCTCCAAAACAATGCAGAAAAACCCTGTCTGGAAAAACAAAACAAACAACAACAAGAAGATTATTTTAGCATTTCAATTATAAAGCAATTACTCTTCAATATTTGTATACTTCTTTGTATGTAATTTATGTAAGTTACTAGTGATTCATGCTGCCATTTTAATTTTGAAATTTATCTGTTAGAATTCTAAGATTATATCTATCTTTTTATTAGATTATCATTGAAAAATTTAAATGCCACAAAGAATACTTTTAGAGTTTTCAGGTTATTGTTGGCTCCTTATATAGTGTATATGATTATAATCCCTCTTCCCAGTGCTTCAATTTATGCAGTGATGGTTCCTTTTTAGTTGAAAGAAGCAAGGCATGGGAAGAGAAAGCTGATTTTGGTAGTGTGTGGAAATGAAATTCCTAAACATCCAAGGAGTAACGGTTCACGGTTATTCTAACCCTAGATTGTCATAATGCTTTTGCCTTGCTGGTGAGGCCACCAACGGAGCAGGCCAACGTACTGCTCAGCTTCCAGATGACGTCAGAGGAGCTTCCAAAAGAAAACTGGCTGAAGATGCTGTGCCGACATGTTGCCAACACCATTTGTAAAGCAGATGCTGTAAGTTCTTAAACCTGTGTCAAATGCAGCTGTAAACGTGCACAGTGCAGTCAGACTAACTTCATTTCCAGAGACCAGTTAATCATAGATGGAAGAGAGCCTTTTATTCATAGGCAGAAAAATGAGGCTGTTTGGGGAAAGTTTCTAAAAATTTTAAGCACATGAAATAATCTTTGAGTCCCTGACTCACAGATGGTTCGTTTAACTTTCTAGCTCTTTTGGCCACCGTTTAGTGAAGCCTTGGGGGCTTGTAATGTATCATGTGATTTTTGCAGAGACTTTTTCTTTTAATAGAAGAATTTAAATTATTGACGTTAAGGTAATTTTGTATATATAAAATCTTAATGTAACTGTTTTGCAAGTTGTTTTCTAACTATATTTAAATTTTTAAAATTACTAGTTTATGTTTATGGGTGTTTTGTCTGCATGTATGTTTGTGGCCTGATGCCCAGAGGAAGCTAACGGATCCCCTGGACCTGGAGTTGGTTGTCAGCCGTCATGTTGGGAATCAAGCTGAGGTCCTTTGAAAGAGCAGCTAATGATTATAACCCTAAGCCATCTCCCCAGCCCCTACAAATCAAATCCTTCTTGAACTCCAGCATTGGAAGTCTTTGCTCAATACTGTCCTAAAGTGTCTGCAAGCTCACTTCAATTCTATTTTCTTCTGGGTTCCTTTGACTGTGCTGCCTTTGAACTCAATGTTTCAGTTTTAGAGTTTGACCTAGCCCGACACTGATGCTTTGTATGTTTTTTAAACATGGTGCATGTTTTCTGCCCCTCAGTTTTTAAGTGTCTCTGCTGAGTGTTGAATCTTCTCTATTCTTGAAACCTGAGTTTCCTTAAACCAATTGTTTTCAAGTTCCAGGGTATAGTGCGTCATGGTGGGGAGGTCAAGGCAGTGGTAGCTTGAAGTGGCCGGCTCCATTGCTTCCACAGTGAAGAGGCAGAGAATTAGGAGTGGTGTGCTTGGTTTACTGTCTGTTCTTATATAGTTGTGGATCCCAGAGTGGTGCAGCACAGTGCCACCCACATGCCAGTTATCCTAGTCCCTGTAACCAGACGACTGTCTCCCAGATATCTCTAGATTCAGCTTAACCATCCTGGTAGTGGAGGCAGTCTTCTTGTTGCTGTCGACGTGGTTCTAATTTAGTCTCTGGTTTGGGGATTTTGCTCAGCATTGGTTTCACCATAGTGTGTCTGCTGGTGACTTTCAAGTCCAAGGCTTGACTTTCACTTTGCTTCAAGTTGAGGAAAGAAGAATCATCCTGCTGTCTTTAGTGCATCTTTGCCTGTACTAAGTTAGAAGCAGATACAGTGTGTTCCCTCATCTGGCTGTTGTTAGCACTGAGGAAGAGGTTGTTTCCTGTCACTGCCATCTTGCTCCGCCATCTCAGCCCTGTCTTTTTGCTTTCTACCTTGCGATTTCCATTGGTGTTTTTAGGAATGTTTAGTACGGGCAGATGTGTCTCACACTTGGCACATTTTTCCGATTGTGGTGGCAATCTTTTGTTCAGATATATCTAATCTGAAATTCTGAGATCATTTGCCCCCGAACTCAGCACTGAGTGAACATTATTTTAGGCAGCATTTTGGATTTCAGATGGTTGGATTAGGGTTACTTGTTGGTAGTAAAAGAGACATTTTGTTTCTGTCTTATTGAGAGCAATGGAATGTCGTAGCATGTTACTTTTTGTATCAGGACAAGTTGCCAGCCCAGTTTTCTCACAGCAACTCTTAAATTAGTTAGCATCATGAAGACAAAATTACCTTTATAGCAGACAGACTACAATGAAGAGCTGGGTGTGATGACTGGAAGTAAATGAATTGCTAGAAATCTGAGAACCTTCAGTAGATGTTGGATGTATTCAGGATCCTGGAATATCTTCATAGAGCAGCCGGTTGCTAGGTAGAGCCCTTACTCTGCAAAAATGATACACAAATAGGATCTGTTGCTGGGATAGATAGACCCTGCTTAGTCGTAGTACTAAGTTGTTTTGGACCTTTTCATGGAATAACATTTACCGTAGTTACACTTGCCTTATAGTGAGTCCTTTCTAGGTGTGTAACTACAATACTGAAATGCAAAGCTAATGAGTTTTTTTCTTAAGATGTTATCATTTACTTACTGGATGGAAGCAGCGAATGCAGAAAATTTCAGAAAGTGTTAGTATCCACAAGGTGGCAGCAAACAGTTACCTATTCTCTGATTTATACTTACATAAAGAATTATTCCAGTCTGCTGAAAGTTTTCTTTAGAACTGTGCTTATAATTCAAAGATTCAGTGGCACCAGTTAAGCTCTTTCCTGTGTTTAAGATTTCACACATAGTAAAAGTCTTAAAGCCCCTAGTTAATGTCTTATTTGAGAATGTTTTCTGTATTGAAGAAAGTATGTTTCTAAATATGTATGCACAAAAGATATAAATATACATGTAACTGACACTTTTTAAAAAGGCAGTTCTAATCATTTGAGTTACCAGTTTTTTTTTTTTTTAATTTCCTGGTTCCCCAAATAACTGAAGTTTGCTCACTCTGTTATTGTTGAAGTGCCTCTTTTTTATTTTGGTTTGTAATCCAGGGAGTCCTTCAATTTGCAGCAGTCCCCTGTCTTAGCCTTCCATGTGCCAGGATCACCACACCCAGCTTGTTGATGATGATGATGATTTTATTGTATATACTGTTTATTATGACCATTTATAAATGACTTAATTAAAGCTTTCGGGGAGCAATGACTGATTGTAGGGCTAACCCTAGGGTTCAGGCGTCTTTGTTCTTAGTTAAACCTTGCTGCCTGGTGGTGGTGGCACACACCTTTAGTCCTAGCACTTTGAAGGCAGAGGCAGGCAGATCTCTGTGAGGCTATCCTGGTCTACAGAGTGAGTTCTAGGACAGCCAGGGCTCCACAGAGAAACCCTATCTCGAAAAAACAAAACAAAACAAAAAAACAAAACAAAAATAAAACAAACAAAAACCAACTGAACAACAACAACAACAAAAAACCCAAGAAACCTTGTTGTCTTTCCTACCTCTCGATACGTTGTCCCACATTTTGTTGTTTCAGATCGTGAAGTGTAAAGTTCAGTCTGTTTCAAGTGTTAACTCAGAATTTCCAGTCTCCTGCCATCATGTTCCTTTAGTTATTCCTGGTCAGATGGTTGTTTTGTTATCCATATACAACATATACACACATATATTTATGTATGCAAGTATGTATGTAATTTTTGACCTATAATGCCAACAGTATTGTTTTACTAATAACGAACTTACACATTTTCACCTTTTGTCTGGAAGTAACTTGACAACTAAATTGCCCTATGCCACAATTTTGAATTTTTGCCACTAACTCAACATTTATAATAAGAATGAAAAACATAATCTGTATCTCAGGGCTGGGGAGATGGCTCAGTGGTTAAAAGCACTTACTGTACTTGCATAGGGCTCAAGTTCTGTTCCCAGTATTCATTTGGTGGCTCAAACCCCTCTGTATCTCCAGTTCCAAGGGATCTTGATACCCACATCTGGTACCAGTGCGCACCAGAGATGCATGCAGTGCACATACATACATACATACATACATACATACATACATACATATTACCCATATACATAAATGAAAATTAGTCTTTTTTAAAACCCAAAAGCAATGCTTTATGTCTTGATTTTAGTTATTGCTACTGTCTGCTTATGAATAGAAATATTTTTGTTTCTCTGAACTTGTAAGCAGAATTAAAACTACTTGGGGAATAGACACAGGACATCTAGGAAGAGATTTGTGCTTGTGAGCTAGTATTGTTTATAACAAAGTTAATATGTGTATTTATAAATATTCTGTAAGTTATTGGGATGGATATTTAGTATTCAAAATTCTTAAATCCTAAATGTTAGAATCCCAAGTATTTCAGATTTCAGACTTTTTCCCTATTATTCTGAAATATTTGTATATGCATAATGTAAGTTGGGTATTACTTGAGTTTAACCCTGCACTTTGTTTCTTATACTCACAGTCGAAATGTAATTTTTTGTGCCTGTGGGAGCTTGAAGTGTAACTAGTCATGGAGGTGAGCTTAAGGAAGGAAAGGAAAAGCAAAGGGTCTGATGACTCACATCTCAATGAGATGCTTTTGTTGGTTTAAGATACAGGAAATGCGAGGTAATGTGTGTGTGTGTGTGTGTGTGTGTGTGTGTGTGTGTGTGTGTGTGTGATCTAACATTCATGAATAAACTTGTAAACTCTAACTACAGCTCTCTTTCATTTACGGTTGATACTGTATACCTACATAGGAATGGCCAGAGTCTGCTTCCCAATCTTAGATTCAGCACTTCTGTCTCTATAAATGAACAACTGCCTGTCTATGACTTCTTTTACATTTGACATACTTTGACTAAGCTCTCAGTGTTTTCAAAGTATGTTAGGAAATAGGAAATGGAGCTATGTTTTAAATCTTGTTTATATATAATTTGAGAAAGTCAGAAAAAGATTGAAAAATAAAGGGTATTTTTGATAGAGTTGTAATTACTAGTGAGAACTAGCAATCCTAGGACTACTCAGATGCTGCACTTCCATTTTCCCATTCTGCTTATTCGCCCTGTTTCCTCCAGGCATAGAGAACGGGAGGGGTGGGCGCAACCAACGTCGCCACTCTTTGTCTGTATCTTAGCCAACAGGCAGCTTGGCTGTTCTTTTGCCCTCTAATGGAATATCTTAGTACGTCCCATTAGTTGTAAAAGCCCCTTTATTTGTCTTCTCCCCAAATTGGAAGGAATTTATTTGTTCTTTCAGAAAATAAGTGTGAAACTACTTTTCCCCTTCTTGGTTCTTAGGTAGTTATTATATGCTCAGTAATAGTTACAGCAATAGGAAAATGGATCATGAACTTGCTAATACAGCCTTTTTCTTATAGCACTTGCTAGAGTTTTATGTTCTGTGTGTAAATGTTTTGCCTGCATGTATGTATGTGTACTATGTGTGTACAGTGCCTGTGGAGGCCAGAAGAGGCTATCAGATCCCCCATTGGTAGAGTTAACAGATGGTTAGTTGTAAGTTGCTGTGTGGGTGCTGGGAATAATGCTGGGTCCTCTGCAAGTACAGCAAATGTTCTTTGCTGGTGACCATCTCTCCAGACCCTAGAGTCTTAAATTATAAAAACCTTCATTGTAGAGGACAGTTTACAAAACTCAGCAAAGGTGGAGTTTAGCTTCATAGTCTAAATTGATACTTTTTTCATTCTTGAATGTTTTATTTAGGGAATACATTTTAGTTGTAATATATTTATACTATGGTTTTTACTCTTGAATTGAAAAATACTATTTGCAGATGAGAGTTAAAACAAATAAACTAAAGATAGGTATGCTGTACTAATACTCATCTCATTTCCCTATCCCATCGGTCTTTCTCTTCATGGGTGTAGTTTTGTTATGCTTCTTGCTTGTCTTTCCAGAAATAAAAGAACAGATATAAAGCTTTCTTTGAAAATGTACATTTATTAGAGTCCTGCCGGCAATTTTGTCTATAATTTCGTAAATTTGTATTTAGGTTGCTTATTCATTTCCTCCCTCCCTACCTCCCTCCTGCTTCCCTGCCTCCCTGCCTCTCTCCCTCCTTTCTTTTAAATAGTTGAATCTTTGATACATAAAGTTTTTAGCCAGCCATTTTGCATAGTCCTGATTCAAATAATTTTCCAGTATACTCCATTGCAATTTTCAGCTTTCTGTTTTTAAAACCGTGTCTGTCACAAGTTGAACAAGTCAAATGAACATTGACAGATTGCTTGTAGTTAAAAAGTAAAACATACTGAACAGAAAATAGATTTAAATGTTTGAACTCGGAAATAATAGTGGGGTTTCTCAGGATGTGTCTTTGATGGATGTCGGAGTCATCCCTGGCATCTTCTTAGCCAACAGCAGGCCACACACTGATGGCCCGTCCTATGAGATTCTTGTGTAGAGTGGCATTGTGGTTTATGTGGATGTATATCATGTTGTTGCACAACCATGAGAGTGTGTTCCTGTTGGGAAACAGCACATCGCTAAGCTGTGCACTCAATCTGTGGTGCTGTGTGTAGAGCAAGGCAGGAATCAGAACCTAGCTATTGACTGTAGAAAGGCAGCAGGTAAGTGAGGTATGTGTGCTCCTCGGGTGGCAGGTGATTGTGGAGGTGGTGATGAGGGCCTCTGACTACTGCTACACTTTGACCTGCTTAGTAAAGTAGTGAAGTCATGCACATACGTTGCAGATAAACACTTTACACACATGTGCCAGTAGTTTTCTTTAATGCTGGCAGTTATCAATTAGAAAGTATACAAAATGACTTCTCCCAATAAAATTTGTTACGAAATATCTAGGAATAGTTTGTGTTTGGCTACGATTATAGTTCAGTGGTAGAGTGCTCCCCTTGTATTTCCAAGACCTGCTTTCAATATCCAGCACAAAACCAATGAAACAGAAATCTGCAATATTGAGCCCTTGATAGGATATTCCTGAGTGATAACATTGACACACAGGTGTTGATTGATCTTTAATTAGTTTACAGATTCTGCTGTCTCTGAAATCCTATAGAACGTTTGGAATTTGACAGAATGATCCATAGTATGTATCCCCCCCACACCCCCGACAAGGTTTCTCTCTATTGTTTTGGAGCCTGTCCTGGAACTCGCCCTGTAGACCAGGCTGGCCTCGAATTCACAGAGATCCGCCTGCCTCTACCTCCTGAGTGCTGGGATTAAAGGCGTGCGCCACCAATGCCCGGCCCCGTAGTATGTTTTTAAAGAAGAAACAGTGATACCTAGAAAATTTAGTAGCTCTATTACCATGAGCTACTAAATTATACTTAGGCTTTTAAAATGACATTCGTTAATTTGAGAGAGTGGGATGTGTGTGCCACTAGGCTCTTGTGAAGGAAGCCCAGAGGATAGCATGTGGGAGTCGGCTCTCGCTCCACCACAGTGCTCCTGGGGATTGAATTAAGACATGAGGCTGGCAGACAAATGCCTTTGCCCACTGATTTATCTTGCTGGCTTTAAATTGTATTTCTAAAAAAAGTGATAGTGATCAAAACACTATTGCACTGTTTCAGAAGTTTATATATGAACCTGTAGGAAGAGTAAATAAAAAAAGTGTTCCACAGAAGTCTGATTTGCCTGCGTGTGTGTCTGTGCACCGCATGCATGCAGTGCACAAGAAGACCAGGGAGGCTCCTCCGGAACTGTAGTTGCACATGGCTGTGAGATGGTAGCTGGTTCTTTGGAATCGTACTTGGGTCCTCTGGAAAAGCAGCCAGTACTCTTAATTGCTGGGCCATTTCTTCAGCTCTAGAGTAGATGTTTTTGAAATAAGGCTATCATACTAGTTTCAAACCTTAGCTATAGTTATTACCCCGTGGTAGTATGAAAGTTAGTTAAGTATTTGGAAATTAGATGTATATCCTTCCTTCCACATACATTATAAATATGAGTTAGGTGTAAAAAAAAAACAAAGGAGAAACAATTTCAAAAACAAGAAATATATGTGGCATGAATTACCCTTTTAAATGGGAAGTACTTGATAAGCAGAAGGGATAGAAAGGAAAGAAGTTATAGAGTTTGACACATGAGGTGTATGTGTGTTAATAAGGAATGTAAAATAGAAATTGGAAATACAAAAACAAATGATACAAATAAACTATCTTTTTATTATATTAGAGATATAGACATCTACGAGTACTGTTATCTATTGGGGATTGTATTAGTCAGTCATTTATCTGATGTGTCAAATGGAAAAAGTGGGTCTGGAGCAGGTGGAATGACTATGTTTTTTTTGTTTTTTACATTATGTGTATGTTTGTGGGGATATGTGCATGTGAATACACCATCCATTGATGACAGAAGAGGGCGCTGAACCTTTTGGAGTTGGAGTTGCAGGCCGACACGAACCTCCTTACATGGGTGCTGAGGGCTGCACTCTGGTACTCTGCTCCAACATTATATGGTTTAACAGCTGAAAGACATCTCCAGCCCCAAATCTTATTACTTTAATGAGGAACTAAAATAGCTTAAGCAAAATAAGGCCATTTGGCTGCTAATGGTGGAGGGTAACATAGGCATTTATATTTAGGTTTTTGTTCATTTTAAATAGTCATTTGTAATTGTAGGGTGTGCAGTTTAATACTTTGTGTTTGTAGCCTGGTGTTTCAGTCTGTTCTCTGAGCACTGTCAGGTTTTCTCTTTGTAAGTGCTGTGGGCTGGACGTGCTGGGTATTTTCTCAACTTTTATGTCAGGAAACTTTCAGGAAAAGTACTTTCACAAGATGGTGTTCAGTTCTCTTCAGTTGCAGACTGATGGTGTTAATAGGTGGCTTCACAATGCTTGAGAAATGAGGTTATTTGCCTTCGTCTGGATTTATGAGTTTAAAGTGAAATCGTTCATAGGAGTAATGTGTAAACTTGCCTTTGAAAGTCCAAACATTATTTGGATAGTAATATTTGTAATTAGTTGGAGAAGTGCTATCAACTACTCTAGAGGCAGTGGGACCTGGGAGAATGGAGCAAATGAATGAGTCAGACTGAGTCTCTCATACAATAGCGATTTATTCAGAGTATCAGACAGTTTATACTCTGAGATAAACTGCACAATCATGTGGCATATACACAAAGAACAAATAGCCAGTTGTAGTGAGTTAATATAAAGAAAACACTCGTATCCACCATACCTGGGAGGAGCATGAAGACATATTCCAAAAACAGCTCTGTGTTTTGAACAAACCGTGCTCACGAAACCCTTGTCCTGTTTTCCTGGAGAGTTCTCATAAGCACTCAGAATTCTCCTCACAAGATTCCGTTCTTGGACCATCTTCTTACACAGGATTTTCTTGTTTTAAAGTTAATTTTGGTCCATGGTTCTTAGCTTACTTTCAGAGGGCTTTTGTTCCTTGGGGAATGTACTCTATAATCTAGGAACCCTCTTCTTAGAAAAGAGCACTTTGTTGATATTTACACAGAATATTTGCAGTTTCAAGAGTATTAAACACACTGTGCTTCTTAGCTGCTATTACTGTAGGACTCAGATGACCAGAGCTCTAACTTAGGTTTCTTCCATATACAAATGGAGAGAAAAAGTCAGGGGCAAAAATCTTTTAAGGAAAGTGTAAGTGTCATTGGTTTTGTGGCAGACTATATTTAAGCATTCATTCTCTTAAGTTATTTTAGTTTTAGGTTGCTTAGTAAGGTTTTATGTGATGCATATCCTGTTGATTTGAGTTATGTGGTCCACAATAAACTGTTCATTTCCTCAATTATTTTCCGTTATCTTTAAGTTAGTGTATCAAGGCAGAAATTGTGTTAAGCACATTATGTAGTTTTGGAGGTAGTGGGATGGGGTGGTCCCATGGATTGCATCCAGGCCCTAATACCACTGCCAGGTCCCAGCCCACGTCACAAGTCTTAAGTAGTTTCCTTTAAAAATGTTACCATGCATATGCAAGTACTTAATGGTTTGAGCTTTAGAAACAGTTGGTTTTTGAACTATATTTTTCAACAGGAGAATCTTATGTATGTGGCTGATCCAGAATCTTTTGAAGTAAATACAAAAGATATGGATAGTACATTGAGTCGAGCATCTAGAGCAATAAAAAAGACTTCAAAAAAGGTGAGTTTGGGTGAAATTCTGGGCATATCTCTAAAATGTGCTTTTCAAATTAAACGAATATTGACTTAAACACCAACAAAAGAATAGTCTAGATCTGTTGTAGGGACTTGAGTCTATCTCTAGAACCCAAAGGGTTAGGCATTGAGACTTTTATACTCCTATTGCTGGGGTGGCAGTCAGGAGTATCCTGGGGTTTGATGATCAGCTAGTGTAGCTTACTTTGTGATTTCTAAACTAGTAGAGTTCCCATCTTAAAAGAAAGTAAAGGTCAAGAAAGTACTTGATTACATATCAGGGATTGCCCTGCAGCAAGTCTTGTTATGGGTCACCAACCAGTTCCCAAATAAAAACAGAGACTTGTTGTCAATTGTGAGTGCTTGGCTTAAGCTTATGCTTGTACCCCTAGCTCTTATAACTTAACTTGTTTCTTCTAATCTATGTTTTGCCTCGGGGTTTTTCAACCTTTATTTCATTTTGTATGTCCTACTCCGTGTCTAACTGGTTGGTGGCTGCCTGGCAGTCCCGGGCGCTTCCCTCTCTTTCTCCCTTATTTTCTCCTCTCTTCTCTTCCCTCAAGCCTTGGAATCCTCCTCCATATTCTTTCTGCCCACCAACCCTGCCTATCCCTCTACTGCCTCACTATTGGCAGGCAATAGAGATGCCTTAGGCAAGCAGCACATCTTAAGAGATGCAGCATAAACAAATGCAACATACCTTTACATATTTTAAGTAATATTCCAAAACATATACAAATGTAACACATCTTTACATGGTTAAAGTAATATTCCACATTGCCCTGTGACCAGCTTGTATACACATGCAGGTTTACACATATGCACATACTCAATAGTCTATAGCAAAACTGTTCCCCAGTACTTGAAATGACTTACAGATTGACAAAGTGGCATCTTTGTCATAGTACTTACAACTTGATGCAGGTATTCTTGTTGTAATGACTCTTGTATGACTCAGACTTGAGCTGACATGTACTGTTGGTATTTTAGATAGAGATATTTGTTCATTCATCTTAAATAATGTCCAAACTAGTTTTCAGCAAGAGCATATGACCCAGTCAGGAAACAGTATCTAATTTTTATCTTACATTGGTAATGGGGCTTTAGCTGAGCGTGCTTGTGCATGCCGTTAATTGCAACACCTGGGAGGCAGAGGCAGATGGGTTTCTGAATTCCCGGACTGCTTGGGTTATGAAGAGAGACCCTGTCTCAAAAAAAAAAAAAAAAAGGAAAAAAGAAAAATTATAAGTAGGGTTTCAGAGAGCCAAGGGACATTTGCAACCTGTTAGGTTTTCTATCGCTGTGAAGAGACACCTTGACCACAACTCTTATAAAGGAAAACATTGAATTAGCCTTGCTTACAATTTCAGAAGGTTAGTCCATTGTCATCATGCTGGGAAACAAGACAGCATGCAGGAAGACATGGTGCTGGAGAAGGAGCTCTGCATCTTGATCTACAGACAGTAGGAAGTGAACTGTATCCCACACTGGGCATAGCTTGAGCATCTGAGACTTCAAAGCCCGCCTCTGCAGTGACACACTTCTCCTACAAGGCCACACATCCCAATAGTGCCACTTTCTGTGGGCCAAGCATTCAAACACTTAGTCTGTGGGGGCCATGCTATTTATAAACCACATAGCCTTATAGATGGTTTGCTGCTTTATTTACAAGCTTTTTTTGTTTCCCTTTGAAAGGGAACACATGTAACATATAGTAAGTAAGCTAATTAGATCATGATTCAGAGGAAGTCCTTCCCTATCAGTAAAGAAACTGGCTTCAAGTAGCTTTGGAATACACGGCTACACTGTGACAGAATTTTAAAAAAATCATGCGTTTTAGCTGAGGATGTAGCTTAGTGATGAGCTGGGTCCAATCCCAGCACTATAAAAAGAAAATAGAAAACAAACAACACAACAAAGCCCTCAGGCTAGCTATTCCTTCTGTTTGTCTCTTCATTGTGCTTCTGTACTCCCAAGTGCAAGAGGGAATGGACTAGAGCATATTTCATTTTCTCACTGCTTATGCCAAAGGAATTCTATTTGTAGAAATGACGTATTTGGATCCTTTGTGTAGAGAAACTTTTATGGACCATCTTAAGTTTGTCTGTCTAACTAGTACTCTTTTTAAATTTCAGGTTACAAGAGCATTCTCATTTTCCAAAACTCCCAAGAGAGCCCTGCGGATGGCTCTTTCATCATCCCATAGCTCAGAGGGAAGGAGTCCTCCCAGTAGTGGCAAACTTGCCGTGAGCCGTCTCTCCAGCACCTCATCCTTAGCAGTAAGTATTGCTCTATACGCTAAAGGGCACACTCAGACGTGGAGAGGCCGTGAACTTGTTTTCACTTACCAAAACCACAGAAAAGGCTGTTTTTCCTTTCTTCTTTCCTCCAGTAGCGTCTGTATAGCCTTAACTATTATGGAGCTACTGTGTAGACCAGGCTGGCCTCAAACTCAGAGATGAACCTGCCTCTGCCTACCAAGTACTGGGCATGTGTCACTCCGCCCAGCTAAGATCCTACTTTTAGTGAGTTAAATGCATTCCTACAGTATAGTTTATTGGACATGGAGTTTTACTGGACTAAACATTCTCATTTCCATAAGAAAAGCATGCTTTGGTCTGGCTTGTCACTTTATTAATCTTAATTTATGTTTTTATTTGATAAATGCCAGTAATTTTGGACTAAAGGTTGTTTCTTTTCAATTGGTTGATGACTAGGATGTAATCTCGACAACTAAACTTTATAAGATCTATGGATTCTAAAATCATGTGCAAATACTTACGTGTTCCTAAGCAATCTGCATTCACAGTGTTAGAGTGATTAGTGAAGACATTTGTAACCATGTCACATCACCAAAGCATATAAGTGTTCTCATTAAATGATTATTAACCCAAGCTACTAAGGTTAAGGAAATCGAGTGGCTGTCAGTTCTTAGCTATATATCACTTTGCAAGCTTCTGAGTTTTTATGAGTAAGAGGTCAGTAATACTTACATCAAAGAACTGAATTATATATAAAACCATACATGTATGTCATGTGTGTCATGTATGTCAGTTTGGGTAATAGTTAAGCATGTGAACTCTGAAAACTTGTTTTGCTGTTTGCTAGTGTATAACTTTTGGTAAGTTTTACTTTGACTGTAAAATGAAGTAATGGTGTGGGTGAAATTAGCATGTACTAAATACTTAGTATCTGGCACACTGGGTGCCCTAGTATAAATGAGATGTTAGTTTTGTGTCTTATAAAACTAGTGTAGGTAAGGATCATAATAGTAAAGTTATTTTTTTAGTTTTTAATACTTTACAGAGTTATAGCCAAAAAATGAGTGTAATTATAAGTACATGCAGATTTGGTAAAGTGTTTGTCTCATATGCACAAAGCTATGGGTTCAGTCCCCATCACCACGTTAACCAGATATATACCTGTAATCCCAGCATGCAGTAATCCCAGCATGTAGTGGAGTGGAGGTAGGGTCAGAAGTTCAAGGTCAGCCTTGGCTATTTAGCTCTGTTAACAAGTTTCAAGCCAGCTTACTCTACATGAGGCCCCGTCTTTATGAAATACAAAAAAGGGAAAAGAAACGAAAAAAAGGTTTGCAAAATTATATAAGCATTTGATTGTTAGGTTACACATTTTCATAAAACTAAAGTTTCATCTCTTGTTTTCTTCATTGTAGCCAATGTAAACATCGTTGCCTTTACTGGTGAATTGGTTTTTATTTTTTAGAATTGTAGAAAATTGGTCATGTTTGCATATTTTTATGTAGACAGTATACATAAGAACTGCCTAAGATACCTTAAGAAGTCCATGCTCCTCAGATGTTCTCTGTGTGTGTTTCCCATTGTGTTCCACAAGCAATGTAATTGGCTTACACATGTTCAGATCCCACTGGTGGGCACTCTGCACTCCTGGTTTCCATCATGCAGCGTTCTGCCTGTTCCAGTGTTTTCAAAATTACTAGAAGGAAATAACTGATTTGTTTTTTGCCTTTTTCAAATTTCAAGAAATGTTCTTCCCAAGTCACCTTTGGCATTTGTGAAGAATTAGGAGCTGTACCAAGCAGTAATGGAAACAAGCCTTGTGAAGTTTAATGTGAGCGTATTGGCTATTTGAGATTTATACTTTTGGAAAAAAAGAAACCATTCTCCATTGAATCACTTTATGTGGGTTGGGACTTTGGAATTCACAACTTTATTGTTGTTTTGGATTTATAGTAAATAATGTTGCCAAATAAAAATGTTTTTACAAAAGAATTTATTAAGCTCATAATAAACATGTTCCATAAAAATTTTCTTTCTTAGGAAAATGATGATCTAAAGGAGAGTGTTATAATATGTAGACTTTAAATTAATATGTAGATTTTAAATAAAAGTTCTAGCAGAAGTCACAGAGTGCTGTTGAAGTCATTAGGTGTAATCACTTGAGTGGTACCACCTTATTAATATTGGTTTCTAAACCGTTTTGCTTCCCTTTGGATGAACACGTAGAGCCAGCTGTCTTATAGGCCCTGGAGAGTAGACAGTCATTCGTATGCAGGTTTTAGAAAACAGACTCTTAGTTTATTCTGGTTATACACACTTGGGTGTTATAACTTTCTGTACATTTTTCTGGTTTTAGGTTAAGATTCTGATGATGATTAACTGTAACCTTTGAAAGAATAACTTTATATTCCTTAGCAACTGATAATTACTGTTACTCAGAAGTGCTGCTATCCTGTTCAGTTTCATGTTAAGTAAAACATACACATGAAATACACACAGTTGTTATGCATATAATATAGAAATCTTTGGGAATAGATGACTTCATTTTAATAATTTCCATGATGTAATTTTTGTTCTTCCTAATTTTACTTTAAGAATTAGGAGGGGCCTGGAGAGAGAGCTCAGCATTTAAGAACATTTCCTACTCTTTCAGAGTACCCAAGTTTGGTTCCCAGGGCCCACATCAGGTCATTCACCACAAGCGTTCTATGTGCTCTCTGTCCCTCCCTCCCTCCCTCCCTCCCTCCCTCCCTCCCTCCCTCCCTCCCTCCCTCCCTCCCTCCCTCCCTCCCTCCCTCTCTCCCTCCCTACCTCCCTCCTTTCCAGAGGAAAGATGCCAGTGCTACTAGTTACTAAGCAGCATCTTCTAGTTGAGTTAACATTGGGTAAATTAGTCAGTCATCTAGCTTTTGTTTCAGAATGTAAACTAGTTTTATTCTTACACCATTCCTCGATCTTAAGTTTTATATGTAAAGAGTTTGGGGCTGTGAGTGTCTTGTCATGGTAATTACTAGAAGTGAGAATGGTAGCACTGAGCTCTGCTGTAATTTTTGAGAAGAAAAGTTTGAAGTGTATTCATCTTGTCTTTCTTTCACAGGGTATTCCATCTCCCTCTCTCGTCAGCCTCCCTTCTTTCTTTGAGCGGAGAAGTCATACATTAAGTAGATCTACTACTCACTTGATATGAAACTTAACCCACCGACCTCACACTTCAACAAGATGCTGACGTAAATGGTACTTCAAATTTGCACTTGGTCAAAGTCCTAAAGAAGATAGTAACACTAACCAATGCTGTTGCATGTTCTTGAAAAACTACATTTGCTTCTTAACATTTTTCAAGATAATCCATGTAAAAAATATGTTGATTTTGGTGTAATTTATCTGTTTGATTCTCACATCTGAAGGCCAGTACCTTAAGTTATTCATGATAATCAGTAGCTTTGTAACCTGATACAGTAAGCTTATTGCTGGGTGTAAAATACTGTTGTCTATTTGTATAGTATCTTGAATGAATTTTTGGAATTACATATTTGTGTATCTCAATTTGTGCAGAGACTAAATGGCGATGCAATACTTAATAAAAACCTCTGGTTAAATTCTAGGGGCTAATTCACATGTATTTGATGTGCTTAACTGCTCTTTTGCAGTTTATTTTCTTTTAAAGTAAAAGATGTAGCACATGGATTTTAAAAGATACACAAGTATTCCCCGTATAATTAAGATTGTTTGAAAGTATTTTTGAAAATGGAGATAAGGACAGAAAGATTACAAAACATTGTATATGCTGCAAAGACAGATATTAGTATGTACTTTTAGTTGTTTCAGAGACTTTATTCTTATTTTATTTTATTTTTGTTGTAGTCATTATCAAATCTTGCTTTAGTTTTGACTGCTGTATTGAATTTTATTTTAAAGGAGAAGGCCATGGGAAAGCTGTTAAGAATTGCTTCTGTTCTCTATATAGTTGGTCTGAATTTGCCTTCAGTTTTTCTAATCTGTGAAATGCATAGTTATTTTTTGTTGTGGTTATGTCATTAAATATAAGATTGGAAATTTATTGTCAAGTATGTAAATCTGCTATTATCTTCTACTGTAGCATTTTTTAGAGTCAGTAATGCAGAATGGTCAGGTTCCTATGCCCAGTGTATTATTTGCTACATGTTCAAGGGGGTGTCGTAAGTCTCCTTGTTACTTAATTTTCGATAATCTGCTTTAATGGTTTAATTGGCTTTGTATTTTTTCTGTTTGATGTGTGCCACCTCACAGATTAGTATGCTACATTATTTTGCTATATTTTAAAAGCAGTCATTAGCAAGAACTTTGTAAATAAATAGCTTAAAAACACAAGCATCTTTTATGTGTTCTGTTATAATTCAGAGAAATTTTCATAGACAAATGAGAAGGCCTCCCTAGTCTCTGAACTATTTTGTATTTAGCTTATTCTCATGTTTTACTCATGTTTTTCAGTATTTGTACACTGGGCTATCTGTAGGATGGTGGAGGTGTTTGAACTCTGTATATAGAAGGGAGTATAAATCCTGTAATTATGTAAAATTTTGTGTTCATGTATGTATGCACATTTTCTGGGAGAAAACACATAATTTTTATTATTCTTTTGGAAGTAGAGGTATTGCCCTGCTCCCAAATCCTGAATTTTCCAGAGAGAAGAAATAGCAGAAGTTATAAACTTGGAAAACTCTTGGGTGCACTGTCAATAAAACAGCACACAAATAGTTAATTTTAACTTAAAAAGCACTACCATAAACTGTCTGCTGTAGAGCTTTGGTATATTCCCATTATCAGTCAAAGGCAGTTTGTTAGTGTACTTAATAATGCATTAAGATTCTGTATCATGCAGAATTCTCAGTGATTTTTTTTTCCTCTATTGAGAAAGTAACACATGTTTTATCTGTTGTAAAAGAAACCTTTACAATTGTTTTAAAGCTTTTAGAGTATCAGTTGTTTCAAGAATGCAAGGGTGGTTTAATATCAGGATATTTTGTTTTGTTTTGTTTTTGTTTTTGTTTTGTTTTTGTTTTTGTTTTTTCGAGACAGGGTTTCTCTGTGGCTTTGGAGGCTGTCCTGGAACTAGCTCTTGTAGACCAGGCTGGCCTCGAACTCACAGAGATCCGCCTGTCTGCCTCCCAAGTGCTGGGATTAAAAGCGTGAGCCACCAATGCCCAGCTCAGGATATTTGTTGATAGGATTTATATTGACAATTTAAAGGTGAGAGATGTATTCATCACCAAGTTTCAAAGGTTTATTATTCAGATTCTCCCACTGTTAAGAAAAGTTCTAAGGACCACTTGTCAGCATAACCAAAGCAACTGGATTCGGAGTGAATGGATGCCTTAACGGGAACAGTAAACATGTTTGTTTTTGTTGCTGGAGATTAGACTCACATCTTCTTGTTAAGTAGGCTAACTCTACTGTTGCTATCTATGTCTCTAGCTCCAACACCAAACAGTTCTCACAAAATATAACAAAGAATAATGCTAATATATAAGCAAGAGGAAAATAACAATGTGGAAGGTCTAATGGCTTTAGGGAATTGGTCACTGACTCTTTTATGGCAGGAGTAGGAACTGGTGCCAGGAGCTGTGGATTGTCTTGGAGGTGGTACTGTAAGCTTCTTGCTTATGGACCTATAATGGTGGCCACACCCCTTTGGGTGTGGCTTCAGGCAGAAGGAAAGAGGAGCTTGAGGGGCAGCTTTCCTTTGAGCTCTTTCTGGTGGGTCAGCGGATCTGATAGGAAGAGCAGGGAAATGCTCCAGCGGTTCTTTGTATTTTTCTGTGTAATCATCCCCAATAAACACCCATTTATCATTTATCTTGGGCCTAGTGATATAATTACATCCTTGCCTTCAATTGGCGTGGGTGGATTCTCATGACCCAAACTGGCCCACTCGCCTGGACTACTGTGGTGTAGTGCCACCACCATCTAGACGGCTGGATTTTCATGGCCCAGGGTCAACCACAACTGCATTCCGGTGGCCCAGGCTTTTTGTATTCTGGTCCAGTTGCTGAGTTTACAGTTTCTATGGCCTGTCCCTTGAAAAGCCAGTACTTTGCTGTACTCTTAGTGTACTGTGGACTTGTGGGCGTGCACCTGTGGAAAGTAGCCCAAAGCTTCGAGTCACGTTTTTTTCTTTCTGCTCGATTTGCCCGCCCAGCTGCAAAGTTCCCTACGAGCCAACAATCACCCAGATCTCCACGTTTTGGGAATCTACTTAAGGTAAATTGACTACCCCATAGCAGTATCAGATAAATATTATCACTGTACAGGAAGTGAAAACCCTTTTTGTTTCTTATATGGATGGGATTTTAGAAGAGGCTTAAGATCTGCCTAGAATATATTTATTAACCATGGTGGCTATTAGCTTCATAATCCATAAATATCCTTAAAGAAATGGTTTGATAATAGGAGCTGTGGGTGGTTGTGTGTGTGTGTGTGTGTGTGTGTGTGTGTGTGTGTGTGTATATATATATATCTACCTCACATAACTTGTAAATACCTTACATAAATTCTAAAATGTCTCTGCTATCAAAAATAGCTTTGGGCAGATCACACATTTTAAACCAACAGAAAAAGCCTTAGTTGAAGTTAAGCGTGCAATTAAAATAGGAGCTGAACTGTGAAAGAGTAATAGATAAAGCAAGTAGAATCTCTTGGCCAAGAAAATAATAAATCAATACAGAAATACATCCATACATATGTATGCTCAGGGCCACGAGAGATGGCTCGGTGAGTGAGAGTGCTTGTTCTGTAAGCATGAGGACCTGAGTTTGGATCCTCAGAACCCATGTAAAAATCCTGTGCCTATAACCTCAGCCCTGGAAGGCAGAGACTAAGCAGCCTAGCCTAAGAGCAAGCTTCAGGTTCAGTGATAGTCCCATCTAAATGCAGTAATATCCATAGAGAATAAAAAAAGTCAAAGACACCCAGTGTCCTGTTCTGGCTTCTATGTTTGCAGGTGTATGTACCGCACACAAAACACAAGCATATGCACGCAAAATAACAATAAACAGTTCATAGTTTTTATAGACCAGCATGATTGTTTTTAATAAAAAAAATTAAGCGAGGAGCTGGAATGATGACTTGGCAGTTAAAGAACAGTGGCTTCCATCTTTGCTCAGCAGTTAAAAGCAAATGGTAGCTTGCAACTGGTAACTCCAGTTGCCCTGAATGCATATGATCCATGGATATATATATGTAGGAGAAACATAAAATAATGGTAAATATTTAAAATATTATGGAAAGTGACCCTTAGAAGTGGAAGTTGACCACCTTTACAAGAAAAAATTTCAAAAGTCCAACATAACCCTTCAGTTGGTCACAAATGTGTGAGTGTACATGTCTTGGGTTCTTGCCTAAGCAGAAGCTAGGAAGACGTGATGGTGACCGGGTATGTAGCACATACCCAGTGGACCCCATGGTATGAACTATGCTGTCCTAATTTATGAAACAGGACAATCTTTACAAATGCTTGGTTCAGTACCCAAGAATTCTCCCATCCATAATTGTTTGTGCTCTAATGAGGGCTAGCATAAGTTTGTATCACAGTGGTTGTACTGCTGTGTCTACTGCTAGTGACATTGGAGTTGTAATTGTCCTTTCATTTGGTTTTGTCCTCATAATCAGTGTAAGCTGTATTTCTGGCAGAGTGATATCCTCTTAGTCTCTGTGAGCTCATACATGTGTCTTACAACTCATAGTACTTAGACAAGAGACTGTCCCTCAGTGGGCTTCTTGGTGGTCCCATCTTTATTCCTAGCTTCTGCTGAGATGGGCAAGCACATACTTAGTCTCTTCACGCAGAAGACTTTAGTAGAGCCCTTTCTGTGACTCCTGATTATATTAGAATTTTCTAGAAATACAATGACATTATCCAGCTCTGAGTCAGAGGGCCTGAATCAGGGAGCTGACAGGAAAATGAAAACATTGCTTCTAAAAACCCCAGCAGGCTACTAGGCATGGTGCCTTTAAAAATGTGTTTGTTTTTTAAATTGATCTCAAGTTCAGGCTCACCCTGAACGTACTAGGTAGCTTAGGCTGACCTGCCTCTGCTTCCGCAGCACTAAGATTACGCTTGTGTCCCAAAACACCTGGCTTATGTGGCGCTGGGGATGAGCTACAGGGCTTTGAGTATGCCAGGTGTATACTGTGTACCTCATCTTTCCGGCTCTGGGAGTACTTGAACCTAGTTACAAGTCAAGGCTGAGGAGACTCAAAACTTTCTCAGGGTTCAGGCCACTGGCTTGGCGAAGGCCATTACCATTTATTTAGATAACTCAGGATTAATTCTGGAAGAGGATAGAAAGGTTGTGGCTGACAGAGTGGAGATGAGGGAAGCATTTACTAGCCAAGAAGAATCAGAATTTAGGAATCCGTGTCCCCTGCCCCATCAGTCCTCATTCCAGCTTCCAAGTGTCTGTTCTTGAGTCAGTCACCTCCCCTTGCTAGTGTCCACCCTATGTGCTTAAGCCTGCATGCCAGTCCAGCCGCTCAGGGAAGGATCTGGTTTTGAATTGCTTAGCTTTCTCTTCGGAGCACACCTAGGTTCTTTGAGGTCATTTATACAGCGTATGAGTTAGAGCTTGGTCATTTCTCTTGTCACTTTATTCAGTGACATTCATCATTCATTAATTTTCTAAGCGTTCAACAAGCTCCTTTACTGAGTTGCTTAGCTCCTTGCTTCTTTCTGGAAGTGATTTGGAGTATCCAAGGCTGATATAGGGAGCACATTGCAGTACACACTATCAAAGCCATGAGACAGCGAGTCACTGATATCTCTAAATCCAATCAGCTTAGAGAGCCTGCTCCAGAAATCCTAGCTCCAGTTCACAAAGCTCACCCTCACAGTTGTGTTTCTTTGGAAACACTGGGAGCACTAAACCTGTGGACTGGAGCTCTTCCGAAGCAGAGGCGGTGTTGTGTAGAGTTCAGATACATAAAATGCCCCTACAGGAATTGGCTCCCTTGATTTTGGAGGCTGGTGGTGTAATTCAGGCCAAGCCTGAAGCTCGCAGAACCAGGGGAGCCAGTGATTAAGTTAAGAATTGAGTCTAGATGTATGAGAATAAAATACCTATGTCTAGGGGCAAAGGAAGATGAATGCCCCAGACTAAACAAGGCACATTGGTGTTCCTCTGGTTTTCTCTAGTTAGGCTTTCAGTGGGTTGGTTGATGTCCTACCACACTGATGAGGGCAAGTCTTTATTAATTCTGCTGCTAATATCTTCCAGAAATATCCTTATAGACACACCCCAAAATAATGCTTAACCAGCTATCTGCGTATCCCTTTATCCACTCAAGTTGACCCATAAAATTAGCCACTACACTGA